ACCCATTGGGCAGAAGGCTGAGTGGGTCCTTGAACCGGTCTGGACAACGTGGAGAAAAAATCTCGCCCCTGCCGGGGCTCGAAGTCCAACCCCTCGGCCGCCCAGACCGTAGCCAGTCGCTATAAGACTGTTTTATAACTAATTACCACAAAGTCGAGATCTCCCAACACACTTTTCTTACAAAATACGTTAGTTCAAGCTGCTTCCGTATTTGAATTGCAGAGATTCGTGATAGATCGAATTATTCTGAGTCCCAGACTGGTTGCTGGGTTTGTCAACAAAGTAACGAGATTATTTTTGTAGTGCGAGAACTGGGAACACTGCGGTGCCGAGACCGTTACGAGATGATAGCTACATCCCTCCTCTGCATTCAGTCCAAGTTTGAACTTGCTAGCATGAATACATATGGTTCTGTTGTGGTNTGTATGTTTTGTTACCGCGCCACAAAAATGGAGAAAAATAATCTCGACCTGCGTTAGGCAATCAAGTTTTGTGTCAGACTGGGTGAGGGCGCTACCGATACCCATGAAAACATTCAGAAAACGTTTGGTAATGATTCTCTGTCATCTGTTCAAGCATTCCAGTGGTACAAAGACTTTGTGAATGAGCGAGAAACGGTGGAAGATGGACGATTGGGACGCCTCACCTCTGTGAGAACAAGTACAAGCGTAAACGTGTGAGGGCTTTCAGTCAAGATCGATGTTTGACAAGTCGAATGATCGCCGATGAACTTAACACCAAACTGTTACACAAGATTTGAATACGAGAAAAGTGTGCAAAGATCGTTCCAGATAATTTGAATATGATCAAAAAATCGCATCGAAATGCTAGAACAGCTCGACACTGAAGTAGATTTTTTTAATGTGGTCGTAACATGTGGCGGAAGTCGGTTTTTCGAATACAAACCCGAAACCAAGAAGCAGGGTGGGGAATGGCACACGTCACAGTCTCCCAAGACAGAAGGGAAGCTCAGATGAGGACATAAAAAAAATCAAGACAAAGCTCGCCATATTTTATTCGATTTTCGCGTGGTAGTTCATAAAAATTTGCGCCACCTGGTGTCACAGTGAATGAAAAATATTATGTTGAAGTCCTGGACCAGCTGAGAACGAGGGTGATGCTAATTCGAATGGAAACTGCAGACGATTGGATCTTTCTCGAGGTTCATGACGACAAAGCGCCCGCGCATACAGCACAGCATTGTCAGTTCTTGAATTTTTGGCGAAAATGTGCGTGCCCGATTTGTCACCTTGCGATTTTTACTTGTTCCCAAAATTAAAATCGAAAGTCTAGGGCTGTCATTTTTAAACGCTTGACAGCGTTCAGAAGGACGTAACCGACGCCATCAAGGTCCCAAAAGAAGACGACTTCCAATCCTGATATGAGGCGCAGAAAATTCGCTGGACCAAGTGTGTTACAACAGAGTGATGTTATTTTGAAGGAGACAGTGTTGATTTGGAGGAATAATGGAATAAATGATTTTATGCAGAATTAATCTCATTAGTTTAATATACCTCGTAGGTCGAGGTTGTGAGAAGCTGTGCATTTCAGTGGACTTGAGAGCGTTTTAATTGTTACATAACCGCTGTGATGATATTATGGAACATGTCAGATCAACCGAGTTTAATCTCGGTAATTGAATAATTTACGTTATGAGAGCCGTCTGGTTCGAATGTTGTCACGTCATCTACCCCCCAGACCGGCTACAAACATTGATTGTTAGTCTTGAGGGCAAGACAGTGCTACATGTGCAGGCTTTCTCATACTCCCTTGTACATTTATATATGCATGGTCTGTTGTTATACTACACTGCATGTTCATGTGCTCTGTTGTATAATGCTTTCACATCTCAATTACGTGAATGAAGTCATTTACACTCTGAATGACTGTACATTTATGTTGTCTGTACACGTTTCGTGATTTTAACGTACAGTTGAGATAATTTTAATAACTATTTCGCGCGCAAAACTGCAGCAAGAAACTGTTTTATGTAGGCCTATATTTTTTATGGGGCACGCATTGTCGTAGTTGGTTGAGGCACTATGCAACAAGCCGGAATGTCTCAGGTTCGATACTCGATGAGGTCATTAGATTTTTAACTGACCTAATACATCCAGCCGCAAAATGACCCTGGGTTCGACTCAGCCTCTAAAACGGAAATGAGTACCAAGAATCTACCAGGGGGTAAAGGGCGGCCGGCGCTTAAGGTTGACATCCTCAGCGCCGTCTGTGAGCCGATTGTTTAAAGAAAATATGGGAGCCTCGACGTTTCTCAACCCTAGGAGCCATCACTGCCTCTTACAGGGAAAGCTTTATTTTACCTATATTTTTTATATCCGTGACTCATATTTGGATTAAGTACCGTATACGGAAAGTTGTAGCACACAGCCCAAGTTCTCTTCATTGTTTTTTTATTTCTCATTAAAAGTATAGAATAAGACAACGCCCGCATTTCATCCAGTCATCGGTAGGCCTATTCTGTAACGTCTTAATTTGGGTCAAGACCAGATGACACCTACATTTTAATACTGCCGCTTATCTGAATATACGATTAATACAATTTTTATGATTATTGATGAATCCTATCTCCTGGGATGGAACGCTGCGTGGTCCGTTGAAAGTCGACCAACCTTCCGGAGGAGCTGTGATTGCTGCCTGCTTCGTGCTAGTTTCTTTTTTCTTTGCTTGGCTTATTCGACCCTGAAGATGGAGGTGACGTGTTCCTCCGCCGGAACGTCGGTTAACTTTTAACGGACTACCGGGTGTTGTATCCCATAAGATAAAACTGTTCGTAACAAGCGCTTTGAGAACCTCAGATCCTGTCACCGGACTTGACTACAGAGATTACTGTTTTGTATGAAAACGTGTTTTAGTGCAGTTTCATCTGTTCTTGAGCAATTATAAGTGCACATGAAGAAGTGTGCGCGTTTTATGCTAATTTCAGTAAGTATCCAAGATCAGGTCATGTCTCGGGTAATAATGTCAACCTGTAGTGGCAGGATTATTTGATGATGAAGACTTTTTCTTCATATGAAGTGATACTTTTGTGTGGATTTTATTAAAAATTTACACAGAATGGAGATAGGGACTAGCTCTCGCTTGGGCCAAACAGAGTAGTGCCTTAGGATGATGATATTCCAGTCTTAGAAACATAGTTTTACATAAAGACAGGACGACGGATAATGTTCAGAAGTCAGTCATCTTGTTATACAAAACGCGCTAATTGTTATGGACTGCCTCCAGATTGCTTGTGAAATAACTGGGCGTCTTTTAATGTCAAATCTCTTGACATAATTGAAGTAACGGGACAAATTATATTTTATTGATATTTATAACTGTCTTCTTTTTTTCTTCTTAAAGAAGTAGGTTTGTGAGATCCCAGTGCTGCTGTTGTGTTCCCCATATAAACTTTTGAATCGATATTCCCGAAATTTGGTATGAATGTTACGCAATCGGAGATATCCTTCGCGTTAGGTAAACCCAAAACATTTCTACAATAACGTACCTTTCGGAAGATGGATAGTGCAAGCTGACGATGTCAGCAACAGTTCTGTGGACTGCAGGATCCAAATCTAGCATTTTACATTTTTTTCGCTGAGCTAACAGTTGTAATTGAACTGCCTGTTAGGTATTGATGACTTCAGCAGCATTACATTGGTTGTTTGAATGAATCGTTACGTTCCACAAGTCAGACATTCGTCCTCTGCGGGTGATTTGAACAGCTTTTGCCCAAATCAGTTAAAGGGTGTCTCCGACTGGGTTGAAGTTCGTGCAACCTGCACGCCGTAACCGGGAATCGATCCCACGACGAGAATGCTGAGACCTCAAGACCAGTGTGTACTATAAGTTCCATAATTAAAGCAACCTCAACAGTCACACCTCCGCCGTAATATGTAATTTTCCGCTGGGGAGCAACTAATAACATGGAATTTCAAGCACTTTTAAAAAATATGCTCAAGCGTGACGGCTTATAAATGTCATAGATTGAATGGATGTAGCAGTCATATATTTTATAAATTAGAATCTGCTAAATTTGCAGCAGAAAGAATTTCCTACTGTTCATCTGACAAAACTCTAATTCTGAACTGTCGGTGGAGCAAATCCCACAGAAAATTTATGGCGTGATCTTAGTACTTCGAAGTATTACACCCAAGAATAAAGCAGTAAACGTAATTAGAAGCTTATTCGGTCAGGTGTTTAAAAAGCATTATGTTCCAGAACGGCAAAAAACACTTAAACCGGAATATAATTCATCTAATTTCCATCCAATACAACAAACATATCTCCATAACTTCCTGTTACTGTTTTCAGGTCTCCTGTAAGCTTCATTATGTGTACAAGTATGGCAGTAATACCCACTCAGATTGCAATTCGTATTGCAATAAGGGATATATTTTTAACCTTAACCTAGAAATGAAAATTAAAATATGTTGATATGTCGTTACCCCATTTGTTGTTCTGTCACTTTTATTGTATATATGTATATCTTTTGTGATCATATGAATTGTTCCACATCCTGTCGTCATTTTTGCCTAACTTTGGGACCGTAATATATGTACGTATGTATGCTGTGAGCAGTGGACGTTATGCTGTATTCTCATTGAACTACAGCTGGTCTATCTGTAAAGAATCGTGCATTAACGATATTTACCTTTGTCTGTCAAAGGAGAATAAAATTGTGGCCTCCCGTTACAGTATTATGTGATGTCTACGTGAATATGGCTGGGGCTTGGTGAAATGACATGGGCTCAAGGAATAGAGTGTTACGCCTCGTGAAAAAAGAATTGCACCACTGCTGTTGCTGTTCTGCTCGAAGTCGTCCTTTTGATAACTTGAGGGCATTAAAGATGCAATCCGTCGATTCCCCATACAGTTATCCCGCCAAAACTTGTCAGTCACTGAAGAGTGGGTCTTTGATGACCTTGGGATAAGTAGAATGTATTCGTTGCTCCAGTTTCACAACTGCCTGTCACATTGTATTGAACTGTTTTACTTTGCAGGGTCTGTATGGATCTTTGGATCAGCGGGAAGACCTTCTGGACGAATTGAGAGCTGCAGCGGAACCATTGACATCTTCGTGTGATCCTGAGGTGAGCCAGAAGATAGAAGCTGCAGTACAGGAAGCGGTGACTGCGTGGAACGGTACCTGTCAGTCTCTTTTGGATTTGTGCAATCGGTACCAGGACGCTGTCAGATTGTGGAAACAGTATCGAGAAGCTAGTGACGCTGTTAAGGCTTGGGTTGATCAACAACTAGACTCCGTCGCTCAGTTCAAACCAGAAGAGGCCCTTCGACAAGTCAAGGTAAGGTCATGCTTCCTGAAGTAAGGGTTCTGAACCCCACAAATTCGTTTTGGTGTAATTAAAGTAGTTTCTTTATCACTAATTTGGTTTCGTGCGCAGTTCGTAAACTTACGAGTTTCCACACTGGTTGAAATTTGAGGTGTAGGGTAAATTTAATTTTGGTTCACTGAAAGTGCTGTTGTGCATAAATGGAAATAATTCGTTCTTGTATTTAATTAACACGTTTGATGATCAAAACTGTTTTCTAATAAAAATTGTAAAATTAACTAGATGCAATAAATTTAACACCTCTCTGTTTTCGAAACGTCTCCCTCTCTTTATCGCCACTCAGATTTCACGTCGAAGATTTTTCTATATTAATTAATGTTCTTGAAGTTTCAGAGTCCAAGTTGGAAGCCCCATATTTCGTAAAATCGGTAAATATAGTTTCGTTCTGCTGCTGGTGGGTTCCAACCCGGCCAGAGAAATTTCATTTTTTCGCTTTGCTCGAAACATATATTCTGCCATTTAATACTGAGCTAAAGAGAAACTAGTGTGGAAAGTCGGCTAGGTACATTTGGTTAGAACTGTGGTTAGGAAATGCATGGAGCCTGATCTCCCACATTCTTTATATTCCTTCAGTGATTGGAGTTCAGATGTGGAGGGCACGTTGAGCATATTTTGCCAAAATATATACTTGATGGTACAGAAACGAAGTTCCTATGTTATCAACCATCAGGAGAATATGAGCATAATCTCATAACACTTGCGGCTTAGTAGTGGTGAAGGAGGATAGTATTTGTGGGCGCAGAAAGAGCCTCCAGGTTCAAAATAATGACTCTTCTACTTCTGGTTCCCTTGATATCATTCATACGTTTAATGACGCGAAATCTGGGTTATGACACAGATCGTCTAAATATCGGCCGAAGCTAGTAAACGTAAAAATAATGAGATGTGCCTAACGAGTTAAGCACAAATTCATGAAGGCGTATGGAGAGTGGAGGTATAGATCCACATTTTCTTGACCTCTGCACTAGCTGGAGGTGAGTGGTCAGCTTCATGCCCCCGGCCGCGTTACCCCCGGTAACCATTGGATAGGAGGCTGAGTGGACGTCAGAGCCAGTCTGGACAACGTGGAGAGGAGAAAATTTTTGACTACCGGAACTCGAACTCTGACCCCTTCGATTATCCACTCCGTAGCCAGTCGCTATACCGACTGAGATAAAGAATCTCCCAGAGATTCTATTTTTAAAGCAGTAGGATATCTCAGAGTGTTCCCTGCTAAGTTTCGAAGTTCATTCTAGCCCCCATAAATTTTTTAGTTGTAAATGCTTGTTGTGAACTACAGAAGATCGAGTTAGCAACAAAAATGCGTAACACGATGACGTCACTGTTGAAAAAATTGCAAAAATTAGGAAATAGAATTTTCCAGATATTCTTATTCATGCGTTTTGTAAATGGCGAGTGTATGGTCGTTTGATGCTCCAGTCGCTTGGGATTTCAGTGAGTGTTTCTGTATATTCCGGTTACGTGCTTTACTGATTAGTATGTATTTATTACTTCGGTAAATGCAAGGCTAGTTAACTCTAAACATATGTATGACATAAATTTGAGTCGGTGAATGCTCGCTTCTGCATGCATTACGTTAGAATCAGACTTATGCTTGGTAACTGCTTTATTGTGTTCGTCAGAAAGTGGGCGAAGACAGAATGGGGACACTTGTGATAAAGTTGAAGGTTGAGGAAGTGCAGGATTTAACATATCTCACGTAAGATAGAAGGAAAACTGCTGTACAGTCCGATAACCATGGGCGATAGATTCTATACCCGGTGTAGCGTCTTAGTTCACGACTTTGGTTGGCTGTATATCCGTAATACGACGGAGAGTCAGTAAATAGGTCACAAATGGAAGTAGAACAGCTCTAATGGACGTAATAGTTTTCTGTATGTAGCACTAGGTAGCAGCACAGCCCACTTTCATGACTGTCTGTGTGGCAGACGCGCATGCCCATGTTCAGAGGCTGGTTTCGGTAGTCAAAATGGCGACTGGTTGAGGTGTGTACTGCCGAAGAGCAGCATATTTTGTGCTCTTCTTGTGAGCAAAAGGCTCAATGCAGAAGATATTAATAAAGAAACGTTTCCTGTTTACGGTGGGAAGTGTTTGTCGCGTAAAGTGGTTCACAACTGGGTTGAGAAAATCTCTCAAGCACGTTCGAAAGTCACATATGATTCCCGGCCAAGTCTCCCTGTTGAGATTGCGACAGAATCAACTGTGCAACGTTTGGAAGAGTTGTTTGAGCTGACAAGAGGATGACGATAGACAGTGTAGCAACTGCACTGGGATGATTCTATGGTTTAGCATACAGCATAATGAATGATCGTTTGAACTTTCGGAAAGTGTGCGCAATTTGGGTGCCCAGAGAACTGAAGGCTCGAAGAGATAAAATTAACCGAATGGGTCTGTCCTTGAAACATCTCTTACGATATGCATATGAAGGGGAATATGTGCTTAACAGGATTGTTACTATTAAGAATCATGGATGCATCACTACCAATCTGAATCGAAGTTTACTTCGGTGCAATGGAAACATCCCAGTTCAACCTCAGCCAAAAAGTTTAAGGTTACATTAGCTGGGAAGGTTACTGTTTTTTTTTGGCATTCTCATGGAGTACTGTTAGTCAATTTTCAGAAGCGTGATGGAAATGTGAATTTGCGCTATATTGTGAAGTTCTGTTGAAGCTTCGAGGTTCAGTTCTGAGAAAACGCCCAGGTCAACTGGCAAGAGGGGTACTGCTTCATCATGACAATGCCAGATCCCATACAGTCCAAGCAACCCAGGAGAGAATTCAAGAACTGCAGTGGGAACTTCTTGAACATCTATCTTACAGCCCGTACTTGGCCCCTAGTGACCGTCATCTATTTCGGCTGCTGAAAAAACACCTTGGTGGCAGACGTTTCGTTGATGACGGAAGAGGTTGAAACGAAGTTGCGGAAGTGGCTGAGAACAGTCGAAAGACTTCTGTGATGTGGGTTTCTACGCAGTGATAAAGCGATGGGACGAGTGTATCAATGTCGGTGCAGGATATATCGAGAAATGTTTTTTTTTTTTCGGGTAGAATAACACACATTTTACGTTAGTTTCTGACCTATTTACTGACCGTCCCTCGTAACGATGTTAATGGTAATGTGTCCTTTTATATTAGCAGGAATGTAGTGGCACCGTGTCTTCGTAAGGTACAGTGATACGAGTCTCTCATTTGGTTTTAGTAGTTGATGTACTTATGTATTCTTCCACGCATAATGGAGAGGGGCTGCATTAGAATTACAAATCGGTGAAAGGTGCAGTCTAATATTCTTTTTCACTGTGGCGTAGTTGTGATGTCGAGGAACGACAGACACAAATCTGAGTTTAACACTCACGAAGAAATTAAGAATAGACAGAATCTGAGAAATGTTTACTATCTTTCACTTCGGAATATTACGTCTCCCCGTCTCCTGTTCAAGAATATGAACATTAATTAAAACACACAAAAGTACAGTCATACCTGTTGTTTTTAATGGGTGTGAAAATTGGTCGCTCATCGAAAGGGAAAAACTTAAAAAGCGTAGAAGAAGGGTATTTCAGAACGGGGTACTGGGGATAATATTTGGACTTGATAGATGGGTAGTAATAGGGGAATGGCGAAAAGTACTGAATGATGAGGTTCGTAATTTGTAATCATCAGATGCGTAACTTCATCTTCCGGGTTGACCCGCGTTATGTGTTGAATCTGTTTCAACATTTCGGAGTACATTTTAGTAGCCTTCTTGAGGGTGAATGAAGCGGAAGGAGGAAGTGAACCGGTAGAAATATTTGTCGCTCCTCCATCTCGTTGGTAGTAAAAATGGCACCTTTATTCTGCTCCCGAAACTTTGACCGTCTCCAGTACAGGACGCTTGTAAACTCAAACAGCCCAAGCATCATATTAGGCATAGGACGAAAAACCATTGGACACTGACAAAAATATCAAATCAGTATCGTTAACGTGATCAGAGCAAGGAAGATCAGATGAACGGGGCATATACGAGTATCACCATGGGAGATGTAAAATACTTCCATTATTTTAGTAAACAAATATACAGCGTGGGAGACTTAGGCATAGATGGGTTGATAATATTAAAATGGTTACTGCAGAAATTATGTGAGGATGTATATATGATTCATCTGGCTCTTGTGGACAGTGTAATTAATACTCGGAGTTCCATATTGTCTTTGACTATCAAAGTGACTGCTAGTTTCTCAAGAAGGACTTTGTCCTTGGAATTAATTAGTGTTGTACCGAGTAAGCACGTTTCATTTAAGTACTGATTCCAGTTTAACACATGGCAAAATGTCATTGACATACAGTTGTTGAGGATGTGCTTGTTGCATTACTTGTTATCTCTCGCTCAGAGTGCAAGGTTAAGATAGATTCCTTACAGACATATTTCAAATAATGACCCATTATGTCCATATTCGAAGTACATGTAAGATAAAGGTCATTACTTGAAGTAGGTTTAAGTGCTGAAAATNTCTTATCGGAACGAAAAATATTTGGAGCGAATGTAGAGGAAGAGTGAATTCCATATCATGCCTAACACACTTCTTACCGCCAATGCTTGAAATAATTCAACGAAAAGAACCGAAGGCGGTAGAATTGTTGCGCCCCCTAGGGAGCGCGGATTCTTACAGTTTTCTGTTAACCAATGAAATTTGTATTTTCTGCAAATGAATGAAACTTCTCTTTGAAAAGTATGAAGTTAAAGTACCGTATATTTCTAGGCTGAAGGTCTGAATTAACTTTTATCACGTTCTAAATGAAGGGAAATATTCCAGAAGGTAATGAGTTAGATATTTCGTGTTCTATCATGCCTTATGTAGCATAGCAATAACTTCTGTTTACATGCATGAGAGCCGTGAAGGTTATGTGTGTTTTAGTCATGTCAATGTTTGCAATTCAATTATCTGTTTCCTGATCCCGCAAAGAACGCCCGTGAGGGAACGTCTTAGAGTACATCTTGTCACTCTCGTTACTGAATTGGTTGTGACTTATATAAATTGGAATCTAATGGTAACAGGAACCACCAGATTAGTATAATGTTAGAAGGAACGTTTTATCGCTGTTATTTCCCAGTTCACTTCTACCAGGCCCAAATAGCCGTAATCGCCGATGCGCCTTTGACAACCTCTCCCTCCCCCCCACATAAAAAAAACGTCGTAGCAGGAAAACCTGTTGGTTATGTATTCCGAAACATAGTAAATTGGAGACATAACTTGTTACGGTTATGTTCCATAATTATGTTACATTACATGACGGTGGTTACATGATACGAAATTACGCCTATGCATTTGAAATATTTTCTTTGGTTCTTCCTATACATTTTCCTTTTAAAATTTTGTAGGATATCCTATCCAGGAAATACCACAAAAAGTATTTTGGCTGGTTTTAATGTAGAAAAGCAAAACTGAAGCAAGAGAATTCGATGCAGTTTAGTAACTACAATCGTCCTGTACCCTCTATATTTTTGGGCGGCTAATGACCTGTATTTGAATCTGATATTGATGCTGTGTAATGTCCAGAATGTGCTAGAAAAGTAGCTCCACCCAAAAGAGTCACCATCCTGGAGTCAACGGTCCAGACTCCAGATCGATCCAATAGGACTGCGCACTAGCGGAATCTTACTGCCATCTCCGTTCCCTTTCTCTGCTTGCGGGACAGACGTTTTGTGTAGCCACTGCCCATGATGTTTCATGCAGTCCTGAGTACTGAGACATACACAAGTGCGGTGAAGTGTGTTCAGACGCCAACGCATCGTGAAACGATGGTGATATCCTTATTTCGTGTATGAGATAAGCTAAGTTCCGTTTGTGTCTTTTGCTTGGTAACTTCCTGCGAGTTGGTCTGTGCTTTTATTCGCGCGATTGGAAGACCAGGAGAGAGCGCAATGTGTAGCCTGCAGGTTGAGGTAATTATATTTGAGTATGATGGTTACACGCATATCTAATGGCGTGCCAGTACAGAGCTATTCAGAGCAGTTAAGTAATTTCTGGTTCCTCTAATCATAAAGTAGTTTTCCTGCTGTAAAACAGCTGTAATTCTGCCCGTGTAGTGAGTGATTTCGATCAGTTAGTGGTTGCCTGATGATGGCCTCATGAGACCGAAACATATAAGTAAAAAAGTAAAGGTATCCCTGTAACAGGCCGTGGAGGCCCATAGGGTTGTGAGATGTTGAGGTTCCTACATTTTCTAGACAGTCGGCTCACAGATGGCGGTAAGGTTGTCAGCCTTAACGCACCGGCCGCCCTTTACCCCCAAGAATATTCCAAGAATATTCCTGGTACTCATCTCTGTTAGAAGCTGAATCGACCCCAGGACCATAGTGCGGCTGGTAGGATTAGGTAAATTCAAAAATCCAGTCTACCTCATCGGGATTCGATCCCGCGTCCTTCGGTCCCAGACCGAAACATATAGCAACAAATAAATAGAAAATGCGATTTTAATGACATTTTATGGATTTTAAATATGATTATAAGTGACATTTTAAAAGAAAACCTCGCGTTTACGTTATAGACGGAAATAAAGGAAGGAGTGAGAGCTGAAATGAAATCTGATGGCACTCATACGATTTTTCGTATGAGCTAGCTCTTGCTGCGGCGCGCACAGGCGGGGCCAGTGACCATTAAGTCTTGACTACACCGTAGTTATTTCCACGTTCTGTCGCTTTACCCCTCGGGAACTGGTCCTCTGTTACCCGTTGGGTAGGAGGTAGGATGAACCTACAGGGAATTGAATTCCGGCAGCAGAACTTCTGTGTATTTTTAAGTGTAAAAACGTAATGAACGTTGCGCGTTGGGACATTTATCTGGAGTTTGGAGGGCGATGATTAGGTCCTAAACTTTATGCGCTATTTATTTCAGGAAACATAATAGTTTCAGAGACCGCCTCTGTGGTCTAGTGGTCAGAGTTCCTGGCTAAAGATCCATAGGTCCCGTGTTGGATTTCCGGCGCTACCAGATTTTCTGAGAAGTAGTGGGTCTTGAATGGGGTCAACTCAGCCTCGTGAGGATAACTGAGCTACTTGAGTGGGGGAAAGTAGCGGCTCCGGTCTAGAAAACTGAATTTAATTGGCCTTGGGGATTCGTTGCGCAGACCGCTCGACTCTCTATCCGCTAGAGTTGGCACCAACTTCGCCGACAAGCTGCAGTCGCTAGGTCGGTATAGTTCGCTTGGAGGCCTCGGAATTTTTTTTAGTACTCGTAGTTTCAGTAGTAGGCCTGCTATACAACATTTGGGCGGCAGGAAATATGTACGGTGTTACATTTCACATAACGATAGTCGCATTATCGTAGCGACGCGACGCGGCTCTCTGCTAAAGAGGAAATTACAATTTGATCATTAGCATGTGTCGGGTGCCACTGGCGTCTAATTTCTCGCATAACATTTGCGAGAGCATGCTTCCCTTTCAAAATTACAGTTCCTGTTTTTTCTAGCATTTCATCATTCGAGGCTCGGCTACGTGCCCAACTCCTCCGTGTTCGAAATTGAGAAACTTCACATCGTTCCGGACTCTGATCAAAAATGCGGGAGAACATGCCTCCCGTATGCATAGAAGTTTTGGGAGAGGAAGTGAAGTTCGTAGTTTCAGTGACTGGCGGAAACTTGAGAAATTATTGCCGCCATAGGTCGGCCGATACCATCGCGTGCCACAGAGGCAACTCGAGAGCGAGTATTGTGTGTGGACGTAGGGTAAATGTTGGGAAGCTGATAGCCAGCATATTAAAGGCGCGTCCACATTACTTGTGCTCGTGCGACTCGCTATGCTCGCGAGTAATGTGCACGATATGACAAGTCACGAGACAAGCAAATTTTAAATCTTTAATTTAAAAACTATAGCCAATAAATTAAAATACGACTACAGCCTATACACACTACGAGTAAATATACGGATCCTCACGCGCCGAAGCCTGGCGAGCAACTGAAGTAGTGTGGACGAAGATTTACGAGCACAAGTAAAAGCCAGACGAGTCTCCTGACGAGCACAAGCCTGGCGATCACGAGCACGAGCACGAGCAGTATGGACGCGCTACACACATCGTCTTTCCTTCGTCAATCAAGGAAATAGTTCGTCGTGATTTAGACGAAAGGATACAGGTAGGACGTGACAGATCCGAAGTGTTTTCATCATTTGTCATTTAATTTTGCTAGTAATGGGGTATTATTGTGAGTCGGGATAACCCAGTCGGTATAGCGATGGGCTACGGGCTGGACAGCCGGGGTTCAGTTCCCAGTAGGAGTAAGAGATTTTTGTTTACTCCACAGCATCCAGACCGGCGCTGAGGCCCACCCAACCGCCCGTCTAATTGGTACCGGGAGCTCTTTCCCCGAGGGTAAAGTGGCCGGGGCGTGAAGCTGACTGCTCACCCTTATATAGTGTGGAGGTCAAGAATGGTGGCACTGTATCTAAACTCTCCTATACGCCTTCATTTAAGCACGGAGACAACTTTACCTTTTGCCCTACAGTTGGTGCACGATGTAACATAGTTTCATATTCCCCAAAACACTTTAACGTGCATGCATTTCGTTACTGAAGAGTAGTTTCTTTATCTATTTGGCTACTACGCTGAAAGAGACCGTGTGTTTGATGTTGACAGACTGTTCCTGCTTCAAAAAAAGCGTCCTGATTTTATTTACTTTGAAGGCAAATCGGTATTGCAGGTCTGTGAAGAGACTTTGGCCGCCCACAAATCCCGGCTAGGAGAGCTGAAAGGCCTAGTGGCTCAGATTGCAAACGACGTCGGTCTGGAAGCCGGCGGGCTGTTAGAAGCTGAAGTGGACGCCCTCGGCAAACGCCTTGAGGATGTCCGGGAGTCGCTCGCCACTCTGGTCGAGGCTGCAGAGTGCAAGGCGGCGAATAAGGAACTCTGCACCGATGATCTTCTGCAGACTAAATCATACCTCTCTTCCGTGCAACAGGTACGTAAGCCCAATAATAATATTTTAGTGTCCTGTATTGAAGTCGCTTCGGGACTACACATGAACTTGAATGCACTGTATGCAAACGGAAACGTAACCAAGAAAATAGCAGTGCTCTGAGGATTCAGCAGCTGTTGGCAGAGTGCATTCAAGTTCCCTGCTTGTAGATGCAAGATTATGTGAGTTGGTGAAACGTGGCCCTGTGCAACATACTGTGGTGTAGACTTTAAATATTTGCAACATTCAAGCAATATCAATAACATCGGAAGTGATGGGGCTAACATTTTAGGCTTATTTCTAGAAGGAAATGTAATTTTAATGGGTGATGAGGGTGTGTCTCAAATAACCTTTTCAAATTTTTTTTAGATAGTTGTCCAGACTTCTGGTTCTGTACCGTACAATTCCTTTTTCTGAATCTGTTAGTGATCTGAAAATATCCATCCTCCCACTGTACAAAATTGGACATATTAGGAGTGAGGAAATTGCAATTAAAATTCTCGGAAATTATCCAGAGCACGCGCGCACCGCCTCACATGCTTTCCCTGCTTCGCATTGCATGAAGAACGCCCATAAAATCTCCCGTTTTGCAAGTTGGATTTATAACAGAAATGACGTCGTTAAAAGTAATCACACTGGATTCCAGTGGTATGGACATGTAGATTATGTGAAGTGGTCGAAAATTGTTTAAATATAGTGTGTACCAGGAAAATGAGTTCCACAGTCCCCTCAAATTTATTTTTAACTCCTACAAAAATTAGCTTCAGATTAATGATGAATGATGTGATTCCTCTTCGGTTTTTGCCACCTTATAAATATGATTTTCGTCTTTTTGAGAATTGTTGTGAACGTTCTGAAATTGACCGTTTGGTTTTCATTTGACCACTATTGGCCCTTTCGCCTTTAAATAGATCGGGTGGCAGTTGTGGACCCTAGACACAAACAATGTTATTGGTGTTTGCTGTAAGTCAACTGCCATTAGCCTACTTTATGTTGCAGTCATAGTAATGAAGGGCCTAGAGGCTCTTGACGTAACCCGACAGGAAAAATTCCGCGTTCCTAGACAGGACATTTCCAGGAAGATGGATCGGCAGAGACGGTCCAATGCCTTGGCCTCCACCTTCACCAGACATAACACAAATGAAATTTTTTCCATTTGGGTATCATATTAATGCTGTTGTAGCAAACTCNGAATGCCTTGGCCTCCACCTTCACCAGACATAACACCACTGAATTTTTTCCATTTGGGTATCATATTAATGCTGTTGTAGCAAACTCGGTGAAGAAACCAGTGAGGGCGTTATTTAGGGCATTCAGTTTCTTGAAAGATCTATCTTCTGGGATATAAGGCTCCGCTTGCTACGTGCTTCTCGCTGGTTCCTTGCTTGACCCCGAAGGCGGAGTCGACATGTGGCTCCGAAGCATCGGCTGACTTTCAACGGACTACACAACGTTATATCCCTGAAGATGGAACTCTTCATAAGCACCGCTGTGAGACCGTCAAATGCTACATTAAATATGTTCGAATATATTGTTATTCATATTGAAATTTGTTGCTCAGAGATTTTGCAAAAAACAGCACAAGACTAATCGTACTACACATGCGAGATACGCATTTCTGTTGGTAGAAGTGTTAACGCAATAATTTCGTGTAGGCGCTTGAGTCTTGAGGTATTTCTGATGTGAGCGTCAGTAGGACGTTTCTAAAATCAAAACACACAAAAAACAATTGAAGACCAGAAATTTCCATGTTACAAACATGGTGTATAGGATCTATAAGTCATTGGCGAGCCTATGTAATTTTACCGTATGCGCTAGAAGCGCGCATACATGGGGGCCGGAAAGTTTATCTATCCCTGTGAATAGGATACGATAGCGGAAGTGAAATGTGCAGAAGGAAGTTCAAGAGCGGATGTGGCTTGCTGGACTGCTGTACCCGTGGTATGCAAACAGAGAACATATGCGGTATGATTCATGTATAGGAAGACACAGCTGTGTTTGATTGCTAAATTGTCAGTAAAGAAGGAAACAGTTTTGAATCTATTAAACTGTTTTGAAACTGAACTTAGGATGCAGATCACATTTTCCCTGCACCTAATTAAGCATCACGCTATGGAGGCGTATGGGGAATTGGAAGTATACCTTTGCCATTTTTAACCTTATCGCCAGATAGAAGCGAGTGATTAGCTTCACGCAGCATGTCAGATGCACTGACTAATTTAAAGGGCTTCACGAATAGAATACGATTCCATTACACAACCGTTACCAAGCTGAACCCATTTACTAAAAACATTGGTGTCAGAATGTGGTTTCTGAAAGTTTTATTGTCCCGACGTCATCTTAAAATGTCAGTGGCCCGCCACAAGGGCGTGGCGGAGATAAAGGTCATCTTTTATTTCACGCCCTTTTAAAATGTTGACATAATGGTATGATGCACCTTTGAAACATCTTTTCCGATCGGGGCGTTAGGTATATCCTGCCATTAGAAGACAAACCCAAGGAAGTCTGCAGATAGTCTTGATAACCTCACATAGCACACGGTCTGTAATAATTAACAGACGGCGTCATTTTAAGTCACTTCCGAACGGAAACATGATCAGAAGTTCAGCATACATATCGTTATCTAGTACCTCCCAAATATGAGAAATTCGCAAAAGTGTTTGTTTCTAGTCGTGGTACTTTTTTTTTTTACATTCTCCATTACACATCTTCTGAAGAAGTCTATGAGAAAAATGAGCAATAATTGGTATGTTTATAATATCTACCTCACTACATTTCAGAAATGAGCTGTAATGTTTAACGAACCGTGAGTAAAAAATAAAATGAAATAAATGTTTATTGCGTTCGCAAAATTAATTGCTTAATATGTGCTTCCAGGGTGTTGTCAGGTGTGTTGATAAGAATTATCTTCTAGACCGTTAGAAAAAGTGAGAAATAAACCAGAAAGTACAGAAGTGGCTTAGTCTGAAAGACATGCCACGCTTTGCTTATGGAAAATGCGCAATACAATTTTCGAATAGTGGTTAAAGTGGATGTTAAACTGAAAGACATAAATTTATGAACATGAATGTCACCATTCTCGTTCTCACAAATGATGAGCACACTCTCAAGGCAAGCAAGTATCTTGTATATCTTTATGCAGCCTAGGGAGAAAAAAAATATATATATACGAAACGTTCGAAAGGGTTCTGGCAATTGTGTATAACAGTTGGAATTACTGGATGCTTGTACTTTGTCCAGCGTCCGGTATTCTAATAAACAGCGTTTCGGGAAGTGGATCTGTTTCCGAAACGCTGTTTATTAGAATACCAGACCATGGACAAAGTACAAGAACCCAACAATTCCAAATGTTACGAAATGTTGTTTCATCAAAGCCACTTGTACTGGGAGGGGGAGAATAGGTGTTTTCCAAAGAAATGTTGCCTATCACTCTTTATTTTAGACTGTAGCCCCAATTAGATCATAGTTTAATCAAAATTTTATTCAGAAAGGGAGCGTTTTCCCAGTGCTATAGTAACTGTTATAACATAAATTGTTAGGTTATATTTTTTTAGTAAGATTACTTTTATTTCTTTTCGTTATGAGAGATAATTTACAGCTTGTAAGTTTTGAGGTTTTCACGGCGATGACTATGAAGAAAGTCGTCTTCTGGGTTTAGGCGCCGTGTATTCTTCGTTTTGGCCGACGTTTCGGAGGAACGTATCGCCGCCATCTTCAGAGCAGTTGAATGGCTTGGAATGGAGAGAGCAGTAGCTGTAGTGATTTACAGCTTAGTGAAAGAGATTTAGATTCCCGAGTGGTATCCGTATTCCCAAGAATTACTTTTTTTTTCGCATTTTTCCCTGTTCTTAGTCAGCCCCGAATTGTATTTGTTATTTTTTATAAAGTTTATTCCTTCTGAATTATGACTTCATGTTCATGTTCTTCGATTTGATTTGTTTTGTGATAGTTTACATCATCTGAATTTCACCTTGACTTTAACCATCCCCCTTTTCACACCTACGCCCATGTTCGAAGCAGTAGGATGCATTGCGCGAAACAGTTGTACAGATTACGGTAACGCAATTGGTGGTAGGTCTGTATGCTGCGAAACCTGCAGTTCTCTCATGAATTGAACAAAATTGGTTCCTGCGTGCACATCACGAGCTGTTTCCGTGAGTGAAATGCCGTGACTGTTGTAATTGAGGAAGGCGTGTTGGAGGTGGGCCTTCTATCCGCCCTCGTGCTTTTTTTTTTTCTTGTCATTTTGCATTCAGTGGGTCAGTGTTTACCCCCTACTCCTGCCTGCTGAGTGCTGCAGTGGCCTTCGAAGAAGTGGAAAGGGAATCTAGCGGAAATAGTTCGTAAATTAACCACCTCCAATATTGCCTTGAAAATTTTAGGCATCTGTACTTTTAATTTGATGATACTGTCACATATTCGGGGGTTGCGTGACTAATAATAATGGGCTCTGGAGTAGACGATCGGATTTATTGCCACTTCTTTACAATTACTATCAATTTTGACAGCTCACAATCAGTGACTGTCTACGACTCGCTCTATTCTTTACTAGATCACAAATGTCAACTGCGACGAATCGCTGCTCACACATTGAACTCTCCTACTCCCATCGTGTGTTACTCTGTGCTGTCCGTTGCAGCGGGAACGTGATTACCGAACCGTTGCTCAGCAATGGACGTCCGCTCTGTTCGTTGATATTTTTACAGCAAAAATATTTGATACGTAACAATGGATTGATCTTGAGGCAACGGGTCTGCTGGGAGTTTGCCGTAAAACTTCGGAGTGCATCGCCAACTGGTCTCGTGGATGTTAAAAGATGACCATGTCAGCAGATGATATTGATAACATTGATTGTATGGAATGTGCATCACTTACTGATCTCCGCGTGGATGTTAAAAGAAGAAAGGTGGTATCGGAAAGTTCCCGGACTAGGTAAAAAGAGAAATGCTGGCTTAACTTGCTCAATTTTGGCTGCCATCTCCTTCAAAATTGTATCCCTGGGAATGCATACAGCGGTTCCATAATTTTTTTCACCTTCAAAAGCACCTTGGAAGTCATTTTCCTAAATGCTATCGAGTATCGCTTGCGGTTCGCTTTAAACGTCAACACTGTTTCAAAACGTCGTACCTTCAGTTTCATTTTCAATTTGGGAAACAAAGCAAAATCACGGGGGGTTAAGTCCGGCGAGAATGGAGGATGGGGAACGATAACCATGTCGTTGTTAGTCACAAACTCTGTGGTTTATCGTAGAGATAAAAAGTTGGGCCCACGTTAGCCCTTTCTCATAGCTCAAGACACGTTTACACGCAGCAGCTTTTGATCGTTTGTCAGGAGTTGGGGAACAAACTTCACGGGTTCTTGAGGTTTCTGGAATCTCCTGCATCTGAGTCCATTATTGTAACTTTATATACACTGGGCATGTCTCATGTTACGGTGTGAATAACCCTTCCCTGAAATTCTAAATGAATAGCTTTAAAAAAAAAAGTAAAGGTACCCCAGTAGCAGGCCGTGGAGGCCCATAGGGTTTTAGATGTTGAGGTTCCTACATTTTCTAGACAATCGGCTTATACATAGCGGCAAGGTTGTCAGCCCTACGCGCCGGCCGTCCTTTACCCCCCCAAAAAAAAACATTAAAAAAAAAATCCTGCTACTCATTTCTGTTAGAGGCTGAGTCGACCCCAGGGCCATAGTGCTTGTACATGCACATGTACATGTACATTAACGGACGTCAGTGGACTGGCCACAGACTGTTGTGTAATGTTAGTTTGGCCTTGGCCTTCGTGGCGGCAATGCCAATTTGGAAGCGCTGCCAGACGGATGCCAGGTGCGGTATACACAGTGTGTCCAGGTTCTGTTAGGACTGTGTTCATTAAAAATACAAGACGTGAAGTATTTTCAAAATTTCACTCTTTTTACTCAAAATAGTCTTCTTCTGAATCAGTACATAGCTGGAATCGATTGAAAGTTTTCGAAAACAAGTCACTGTACTCCTTTCATGAAATCGCATTTAAAACTGCAGTACATTCCCTTTGGATGTCCTGGATGGTGTCGTGACCGTCTCCTTTGATCGCCAACTTAACTTTTGGGAACAACCAGAAATCTGCTGGAGCTAAATCTGGCGAATACGCATGATCAAGGACTGTGATCCCTTTTCTGGCTAAAAAATCGCGCACGATCCTCCATTTGTGAGGTGGGGCATTGTCGTGGAGGAGCGACCATGAACCCTGCTCTCCATATTCAGGTCGAATTCGAAGAATTCTCGCCCACAGACGATTGAGAACTCCATGATGATGATGATGATGATGATGACGATGACGATGACGATGACGATGACGATGACGATGATCAGAATTCACTGTTTGACCTTCTGACAGAAATTCCTTGTGAATGATTCCATTGGAATCGAAGAAAACGGTTAGCAGTGTCTTTACTCGACTCTTTTGCATGCGCACTTTCTTTGGTTTCGGCTTCTTTGGACTCAACCACGCTGCACTCTGCCGCTGTGTGAGAGGCTCATATTGAAAACAACATGTCTCGTCACCAGTAACAATCGATTTTGAAAATTTTGTATCACATTGGGTTGACCGTAACATGTCTTTGCAGTGTTCCATTCTGGCATGTTTTTCATCGCCTGACAGCGCGTGCGGTAAAGACCGTCCACAGACGTTACGTTTGCCCAAATCCTCGGTCAAAATTTGATGCACAGTACTTTTTTGTATTCCCAAAAGCTCCTCGATGAGTCTTGCAGAAACACATCTGTCTGATACAAGGATTTCGGTCACTTCCGTGCGACTTGTTCTCGACTTTGATGTACGTGGAGCGTCTTCATTGTCCTCCCTGCCGTTACGAAATACAGCATACCATCGAAAAATGTTCGAGCGACTCAAACGATTACTACCGTACACACTTTTAATCATTTCGTACGCTTCTACGGCTAACTTCAAACAAAATTTGATATTGGCTCTCTCTTCAACCGCCATTTTTTGATGAGCGTCAGAACAGTACTGTTACATTCAAGGTCAGAACACATGCAGCGATGACTGCGCTTTGAAATTATGGACGGCCACAGCTGAAACTTCAAGAATCTTAATGCCACAACTTGCCAACAGATGGTATTGCAGGGGGGGGGGTTAAAAAAAACTGGTGCCACATTGTGCAAATGATTTCATTCGTTTTGAAACTCATTTTGCAGAAGTCACTAATAACATAGTGGAAATTGGACAGCAACTTGGTTTCAATGGGTTAGATTCTGTCAACGTAATTGAGTGCATCAAATTGAACACTAATGAACTAGGTAATGAAACACTTATTAACATAGATAAACAACGGGATTATGAAGAACGGGAGGACAACTTAGACGACGACAATAACAGCTGAACAACTATAAAAATTTATTGGAATGGTTGAAACCTTCGCAGAGCCTATTATGGAAGTTGATCCCAATATTGAACGTAGCCTTACAATTCGCCGAACGATAAACAGTGCAATTCGTTGCTACAGAGAAATGTATGAAGAGAAAAGGCCAAAGAAGAAAAATGTGCGGACATCAGTATTGCAATTTTTAGAGAATAGAAAATGAATTTCGAAAAACGTGCATTTTTAAAATTATTTCCAATAAAGACATTTGTATTTATTAATCGTGTTTTATTTATAGAAAAACAAATTTTTTAACCAATTATCATTTTTTGTGTGTAATTAGTTCCTCGATTAGTCCGGTTTCAAACAGTCCGGAATATTGGCGGAACCAGTTACCCGGACTATATGAGAAATTGCTGTATTTACATAAAGTTACCTACTTGTAAAGCTTTCTGCACTTTGCCAACCTTGAAGAGTACTATTTTCTTTGATATAATACTGTGTAGTCCATTTAAAATCATTCTATGTTTTTGAGGAACATATCTGCACCATCTTCAAGGCTGAAGGATAAGCCGACCAAGAAACCAGCAGTTGGAAGGCGTTGACTAACAGACTACACAGCTTTGTGTTCCAAAAGATAATACTCTTCATAATCACTGCTGTGAGAACAGAGAGCCTACATTTTACAACCTTGCTTATGAGTTACAGTGTTTTGTTTGTTCATGTGCATGTAATCAGCATCTATTTATGACATCCATTTGCTTATGTTTAATTTCTGTAAATAAATTCCACAGGCATGTCTGTGTATGCATGAGTACGTGTGTGAGGTGTGTGAGATATGAGACGGAATTAAGAGAAACAGGATAGAAGTGAGACAACAATGTAGAAGAATAAAGTAGTTTTTGCCCCCACCCCAGTGGAGAATTAAAACTAAGCATCTAAATTTGCTGCGAAGAAGATTTTTATGCTTTATATTAACACTCAACTGAAGTGCAGATTGTGTTACGTTCTTTGTTCCCATTGCACAACTCTGTATTTACAAATATTGTTATTCTGTATTATGTTCATATATTATTTTCTTTCTAAGCAAATTTGAACAGTGTTCAAGTTTATACAGTGTTATAACTTTATTGTATATAACAGAGTCTGACAACAGTGGAAGAATCAACTGAGAAGGATGTCGAAAATCAGCTTGGAGCTCTGAGGAGTCATCTTCTGGCCTTGGGCAGGACTGAAGGACAGCTTCATGCTCTGAAAGAAAAGAGCTTGGAACTTGCCCCTGCAAAACCAGAAACATCAGTTGTAGAAATTTTGCAGGTATGCTGAGCACTTTGCATGTTAATAGTGTTTAGAAAATTCTGTCAGCATTTTGGAAATGGAGTGTATTTGAAACAGAATTTTTAATATGCCATACTAAGCACCTGAATAGGTTATTCAGCATGAGAAATGTATTTTTTTATGGAGAGCTTCAGGTTGCACACTATTGCATTATAATTGAAATTGCGACATTTTAGAATAATTTAAAATTCAGTCAGTCACCAGATTTGGATTTGAGGTTCTTACAGCAGTGGCTATGAAGAGTCATGTCTTTTGATTTAGTGCTGTTATATCCCAGAAGCTAGAAAGAAATTTATACAAGGAGTATCATTGTCTGTGATGCGATTGATGCTGTGTAGTGAGCCAAAGTTTACCAACTCTGCTTGCAGCTTGGCTCACTCTTTGACCTTCGAGGAGGAGGCAGTATGTACCTCCAAAATATTGGTAAACTCTTAGTAGACTACATGGCATCACATTCCAGAACATGGTAGGTAGTTCTTATAGCCACTTCTATGAGAACCTGAGCCTCACAAATTTACACAAGATTACGTGATAGGAAATGACATGAAAGAGCACAGTACAAAGACTGATCCTTGCATAGAAGCCAAGGGGAAGAGAAGGTTAGAAACACCACTGAAGAAAAGACATAAAACCACAATTACCACATGGCATAAATTGATGGGAAGATAATGAAACCTCATTTTACATTACTGTAACATATGTTGTCCCATCCTTGAGTGTTGAAAACTCTACATATGTATGTGTGCTGTGCACTTGCATGTGAATGGTTTACTTTAAACGTGAGTCATAGAATTTAGCTGCCAGTATCAGCTGTGTGTGTTTTTTCTATCGACCACAGAACTCAGAGTCTGAATTTTAGTAAATTCAGCATGTGGAACCCTGGTGAATTAGTCTGCATAGGCCTTCAGTTTGTCCTACTCAGTGTACACAAAACTGAAAATGGTGTAGATACTCATATAGTGTGAAGCATTTTATGCTATGTTATGTATTTTGCAGTCTGTACTTATCTTTTGTACGACATATTTTTCAGTTATGGCAGCAAGTTTTCAGGGAGACGTTCCAGCAGTATCATCGCCTGTCTGCTCGTCTTGTGAAGAGCCAAGATGGAGCTGCAGCCCTAAGGCTGTGGCAGGAGTACCTCCTGCATGTTCAGTCATTCCTGTCCGGTTCTATTCCAGAGGACTACCACAGTCTGACAGAACATCAACATCTCTGTGAGGTATGAAGAAAGGTTTTACGTTTCTGTAGATCTGTGAAGTACCCAGATTAATAAAACTGTATTTTAAAAAGTGAACACTCTGATGATTATATAATGTACGGTTGAGACTTTTATATGAATTATTATGTGATGTATGTGTGGTTACAGAAGAATAACTTGATAGTCAACACAATCTTGGGCATATGTAAACATCATAAACTTTTAATAGGTTTGGTGACGATTTGTATAAAGAGATCCTGAAGATGCTAGTTAATACCAAAATGTGTGGGGTACAAATATAACCCACTCATTATTGTTGTATCAGATGTTAAGCAATGATCTCTCTTTTATACATATGTATTCTTTGTTGATGCCTTATGTGTAAGTTGTTATTCAAGCAAGAGTAAGTTGAAGTTCTGTTAGTTCTTACTGGATATGGTGGTTTAGCAACACTTATCTAAGTATAGTCAGAGTATTTATCTGTGTTCAAATTTTATTTTGAGGGTATTACATCTGTGAAAATTGATTTTGCTGTAAGCAAAGAAAAACAAGTCACATTATTTTAAGATTGATGTTACAGCTCAGTGTGCATAATGGGCAAATGAGAAAAGGTTTATGCTGTGACATCAACTCGCACTTTGAGAGATAATAGCAATCCCTCACCAACTGCACATTTACACTCCTGAAACACACCATGGCCGATAAGACCAAGCCTTGTGATGTATAGGTGGTTACAGTGGCTGTGATTACTGTTAATACTCACCAGAACATATAATTAAGTTGCCTGTTTTTCACATGTTACATGTAATAACATACATAAAAATAAATTATATCTAAAATATAACAAAATCAGAAAGGTTTAATTCATACCAGAGTGCGTATAGTTTGCTTTTGCATTCTTCGTGTAGTATTCCCCAAGAAATTATTCATCTGTGATGATCTTTATGAAAATATAATTGGTCCTGTAACGTTCTGTAATGATTTCAAGTCTCAGGTATCATCAAAGTCAGCATAGCAGTTCTTGAATTGGAAATGGAAAGTGGGTGTGTGGGCAGACAGACACACGGTTCCCCTTTTACACATTTCATTCAAAGAATGTATAAAAAGGTGCCTCCAGAGTCGTCATAGTGGTAGAAAGCTAGGAAACTAATTTCTGACACAGATGCAGTTCTGCCTCCAGCAAATGTTGATCTTTGCAGAAGTTACAAATTTTCCCATATATGCACAAATTAAAGAACATGATCATATGAAACAGAGTACTGCATTTGGCAAAACTGAGTATATATGGGGAACCACTTTACTTGAAAATCCACTGGAAGTGCTATAGTTGGTAAGGGATTGTTGCATATATTTTTGCAGCATTGTCTCATGTTTTGTTTGAATGTGTGAACTCCAGTTTTACTGTTGTCTTATAGAAAGAACCGTGGTCAATGCACATAAAGGCCTGAGACTAATTTGTTGAAGTCTGTGTGATAGTATAAATGTAATTCTGTGAGATCATGGGCACCTTATAGAACTCTTTAACTGTGTACATTGTGATGTCTTGAACTGCAGTTGGACTCTTCAGAGAAATATGACTGTTTATATTAAAATGTTTTTACACATAAGACATGTACCAGAAACTACTGTAATGATGCATATTAGTTGATCTAAAATAAGTGATTGTTTCCATTTTACAGGTCCATCAAAATCTACTAACAAGTCAGCAGTCTGTACTTCTGTCTAAAAGTGATGATCCAGGTGGTAAATTGGGAAAGGGATTGGTTGAGTTGTCCATTACTGAACAGTTTAATTCATTGACCAACCTTCACAATGAGACATTGGCACGGATCATGGAGCGTCATGGAGAGGTACGAGAACGGTTGGCAGCCTGGGATCACTACCGTCAGGATCAGGCACGGCTGCTCTGTTGGTTACGTGACACTGAGCGTGAGCGAGGCAGGCTGCAGTTGCGTTATATACACACCAGACGAGTTCCAAAAATGCTTCAAAGGATAGAGGTTAGTTCTTATGAGAATGCTCTTACACACAAATTTATGTATAAAAATATTCATAAATATCTACTGCTTGCAAGTTCTACAGTTTGAAAAAATTATCCTGATTACAGATTTTTTAAGAGTCTCATTTGCCATTATTATTGTACCAGATTTGTTAATATTACCTTAATAAAATTGTATACTCATAGGTACTTTCTTAATCTAGAGTGAACAAAAAGAAGATTCATATTACAAGTACAATAGAACGGAAGACATTTGAGCTGTTATAAGTGAAATTTATAGCACGAATAATGTTGTGTGTACAAGGAGTGTCCATACAAAGTATATTAGGCTGAGTAATAAAAGACTAGTGTACAGGTATGGCTGCATCCCTGATCAATCTAGAATAATTAAATATGACGCAGATTAAGGTTTATGTGTTTTTTCTGTTCCAACAGTGTCTACTGGATAAGGTCCCAACAGGTGAGTCTCAAGCAGAAAGTCTTCAAGAGCAACAAAGCAAATTGCTTAAATTCTGTGACGATGCTCTGGCAACATCAATCCGTATGGAGCATGCTGCCATTTCACAGAGAATCAGCAACCTTCAGGCAGGGCTGGAAACATGGAAAGGCTTCTTAAAAAAAGTAGCCTTGCTGACTGCTACTTTTGAGGATCAAGTACATCACATTGAAAATGTGTTCAGAGAAATTCACTCTGCTATTGCTGAACCAGGTGTTCTTCCACTCTCTCACACTGGCATGCAGAACAGATTGGAAAATCTCAAGGTGAGAGCGTCTTCATAATACAGTAAAATCCTGGGCGGTCATTTCATACGTTGATACTGGATGTAACTTTGCGCAAAGAACTCCCGTATAAAGATGTCTAAGAATTTTGGATCCTGAATTTTAATATATAAATGTCTTTCTGTATTTAGATTTCATGCCTTATTCAGATGCAGATAATCGCTAATATAAAAACCCAGTGATGATAAAGTGAAATTGATTTAATTTACAAATTTACTGGATTTGAGGTTATCATGGCAATGACTGAAGATTACTGTCTTCTGGGGTGTGACCTTTGCAAAGATGGCCAGACTATGTGGCAGTGTATCCTTGTTATTCATTTACATTCTTAAAAATATGGCAGTTATGCTCAATTTGAATAATTAATTAAATTTTAAAAAATGTGGTAAAAGGAGTGTGAGGTATATAATTGAACAAGTGACACACCCTGTGCACTTAAACACTGAAGTTGGATGAAGCATGCTTCTGTAAAACACTGATAGTCAGCCTTGTTTTGCTTATACAGATACAATAGACTTGGCCTTTTTTTTTATATTTGTTTGAATATATTATTGATGCATCATTCAGAAACAGGCAAATTACCAAAAGTGAGGATGACACATTGCAGTCTTGTCAAAGTTTACTGATGTTACATATATACATGTACCATCCTCAGGGTAGAGTTATCTTCTACCCAGATTGTGAAGGCAGTACATTCCTCCAGTATGTCAGTATACTTCCAACAAACTACATGGTATCACAGCCCAGAAGACATTAATGTTATTGTGAAGAGGGCTGCTCTTCATAGTAACTGCTGTAAGAACCTTAGATGTCACTGATTAAAGCTGGCATATCTAAAATAGCTGAAGAAAGAGTTTTCCCTTTGATGCATGAGATTGAGGTGGCAAATAATGCGACTAGGATGCAAAAGGGCTCATCGATGAATGCAAAGATTTGTTATATTTTATTAATTATTGGTGTCAAATATATGCCTTTTAAACATTTTTATTATCTGTGTTCATGTCTTTGTGTCTTACGTTATTTACAGCTTTTGCGATCTCGTTTAGTCGAACTTACAAGGGATCTGGAGGAATTGGGAGTAACACAGGAACAGCTTAAGGAATGTGTGAGTCCAATGGACATGAAAACAATGAATCAGAAAGTATGGCTCCTGTGGCAGGGTCAGGGAGATCTGGATCACCATCTTGCTGTTCTTTGTCACCAGCTTGAAGAAAAACTGGGAATGCGAACAATGTTTGATAACCGGTAGGGTGTATCATTAAATTGTTAACATGTCTTTGTATATATTTAGGCACATTCATCTTAACATATATGTGATAAATATGGTTTTGTAACAGTGCTCTGATTTAGCTGATGGATGTGACTGAATGTTAGCAGTTGTAGAAGTTCAGCCAAATGAATGGCTAATATACAGATTGGACCAAATAAACAAATCCGATTACAGCAAGTAAAAATTGTAAACATATCAAAGTTTTGGATGAAAAGGATTAATCTGAAAGGAAGTTTACAAACTTCAAGCAACTGGAAAAAACATATATATTATGCCCTTGTACAGTGGTGTATGTATGATTTTTAGGAAAGCATAACACCCTAGGATTACATATGGCTGTACTGCTTGATGTTTGTAAATGTGTTTGTTTGTTACAGAAGCAAATATGGAAGGATTTAATACATTAGCTAATTTTTGTTATAGGCAATCCAGGTTCCTAGTGTGGGCCTCTGATGTAGAGTCAAGAGTTGACCAGGGAAGTGCAGCAGGAGATCCTGAAGAGGTCTTGCGTCGACTAGAAACTGAACTCCAAGCTGAAGTGGCACTAAAAAGTAGAGAAGTTGACTGGCTTCTTCACACAGGCTCAGAACTGACCCAAGCTTGTGCTGGAGAGGCAGAAACAGAAGTTGAGCAAAGGAAGGAAATAGAAAGCAAAGTTCAGCGAGTTCAGGATGCATGGGATCGATTGCAGAACCTGAGCAAGTCTAGGGCAAACAAACTTCATGATATTCTTCAGGTAAACATAGTACTTGAACTTAGTTCTGGGACCATGTCCTAATTGTACACAAAATGAGTTCCATAAAAGGGTGATAACAGGTTTAGTAAGCAGTGTTTTTTTATTTTGTAAATTATGGTCTTTTCTACTCCTCTTATGCTGTTAGTAACTCTCGAGGCTGAACTTGAACTGTTTTGAGAAAGGACCTTTTAGTGCCTTTGTTTATGCAACTCGCATTTAGAAACATTTCTTTTGTGTTCTGTGGCCTACCATATTTTATAGTGACTAAATTTATAGCTTCAAGAACAGTGACTTAAAGGTTTTTTATTTAACAACATTGTCCTTATCAAGACTATAGAGTCAGGATGGTTAGTAAATATGAAGCAGGTAATGGAATGAGAATTGTATCCAAAGTACTGAGAAGAAAAGCGGCCTCCATAGTGTAGAGGTAACGTTCCCACCTTGTGACTCGTGGTACACGGGTTCAAACCCGGCGGAGGTCGTGGAATTTTTAAGGGCGGAAGAATTCAGGGAACAAGTCTTCTGGGAGGGACTTTAAGCCGTGGGTCCTGTGTCATAGCTTTACGGCACGCAAAAGAACCTCATATCTCCAAAGGAGGTCACTGAGCTAAATTCAAGGACATTTCCCGCCCAACAGTAGTCTCTAACGCCTCTGATAGATGGGGGAAGCATTATAGATACCGCCAAGCCAGTAGAGGCCGAACTCGCTGGCTCGGTCAGGACTGATGGTACGCACCAATATCGGTAGGTTATAGAGACTGGTAGAATATCATAGAGGGAAGCACAATGGACCAATACTGGTCTCAGTGCATGGGGAAATCCACCCTCTCCAATAACTAACTAACTAACTAACTACTGAGAAGAACCCTGCCCCGGTGACGTTTTGTCCACCACAGACTCCACATGACCTGACCTGGAATCAAACCTGGGCTTCAGTGGTGATTTCAAGATCTTAGCATGCATTTCTACTAATATGAAAGGTTTTGAGCATTTTTTGGTTGAGTGCCTTATGCATAGGTTGGTTAAAGAGTAGTGGCAACACCTCTATAGTTCTGAAATGACTTTATTACCTGAGATAAGCACACTTACATTCCTTCAATATAATCGCCCCCCATGTGTAACACCTTCTGCCAAATTTGTGGAAGGCGTCGTACACCATCAGCATGTCCGCTTCTGTTGAAGTGCAGTTTGTATGAGTGAGCCGAAATTTCGTCCAGAGTGATGATCCTTCCAAGGAAGTTGTCACCTTCCTTCTGGTATCGGTCCAACAAGTCCTGTGCAATTGCATAACGTTGCCATTGTTGCACCTCGGACATTGTATGGGGTACCCAACATGCTGCAGTTTTGTGGTATCCAAGAATATCGTGCAGAATGTGGAGCACGGTTTTGTTACATATGCCTACCTTAGCAGCTAACCCCCATGCAGCCCATCAACGATCAATATCTAGCAAAGAAGCAAGAAGCTGAATTGTGTGGTTGTCAACATGGTGTCGTCCTGAATGGCATCCCTCCCTTCACAGAACAATTTCACCCACTGTGTCGCTGTGTGATATGACAAAACAGCATTACCACATGCTTTTCACAATCCCTGATAACAGTTTTGTGCACCATGACCTCGTGCAACTTCAATTTTTATCCAGGAGCGTTGTTTTTGTTTCGTAAACATGTTCTTAGGGCGCTTGAACTGGACTCCTGCACTTGAAGACGATGCACAATGCAGCTCAGTGAAACACAACCAGAGCCACTCACTGCACTATTTCAACTGAACTTTTGCTATCAGCTACAGATGGTGCTAGTGCCACCTGACGCACATCTTTCATGTTACAGCAGTGTTGCCACTACTTTTTATCCAACCCTTGTATATTATTTGTTCAGTATGTTGAAAATTGTTGGGAAGCTTGTGCCAAAACATTATTAGTATATTTCTAAAAATGTATGCCTCTAGTGGCATAATAGTCATGCCAAGTTTTATTCAAATGATTTGTTTTGAAATAAATTTTGTGTTACCTTGAATTTTATTTTGTATTTTGTCAAATAAGGTGCTTGTATTTACAAGATGAATATTCCATGAGCATTTATTGTGGATAGTTTTGTTTACCATTTCAATATTAAACCTTGCAGACAGTATCACAACTTGAACTGCGAATAGCAGAGTTGCGGGCATGGTTGTATGAGGTGGAAGCTCGTTTGAAAAAACCACTGGTGTTCGAATCTTGTTCTAAAGAAGTTGTTGAATTGAAAATACAAGAACATGAGGTAAGTATTTTTTTCTTTTCAAAAATCGAATCTTTCGTGGTTAATAAATGGACTAAAATATTGTGGAGTGGTTAGCGGTGTTATAGTTGAAACTAAGACCTTTGGAGACTTGATCTGACATTGACTGACAGTGTGAACATGTAGAGTGTTGGTAAGTTGCTGATATGTGTGTCTATGTTAGTCATTTGTTAATTGTGTTGCTTTCTTATTCCTGCACTACTTGACATGAATGCAGAGTTGTACTGAGTGATCTTCACATCTGTTACAGATGTGATTCCCATTTTGCCAAATGTGGGGAGTGGTCTTTCACACACCAACTAAAGTCATTCATTAACCTGACTTTGCTGGTGCATGACAGTAATTTGTTGTGCAGGACTGATGCTTACTCTTCATGGGACTCCCCACTACATATGAGTAGAATGTCTGATTATTGGTGGTCCCTTTGGGAACAAATTCAAAGTGGATCATACCCCTGATGTTGAAAAAGCAGATAAACATTGTTTTGATTTTGCACTTTGACATCCATGGCATCATTGGTCTGGGGATTCACCATAAACTTTTTTCAATGTCTCTAGTGTTTCACTTGGCGATTTCTGCAGTTTAAGACAAAAATTCACATTCAGTCTGTTCCATTGTACACTCCAGTTTCACATCTGGACAAATTTGACAAAACACGGTGATCTAATGAGCCACTGTTCTGTGAATACTGAATGCAGCTTAGCCAAACTTTCCATGTGAGCTCTGTCATGTTTCATCACCTAACATTTCAAGTAACAGCTTTGCCAGAACACCTGGTGCAAAATTAAAAATGAGTCGCAACTTATTTGTACGACCTTGTATGTAGAAGGATGTTTCTGTGTAAATGGTTTATGGTCACTTCCCCTGTTCACCCTGATGCTGAAGACAGATGAAGTCCCCTAATCATACGGTTTTTTCTCAACCATATCACAGCTGATCATATGAGAAGATTTTAGTGTGATGTTTTAGAAGTTCCTCTTTGTAGATGTAGCCTTGGTGTTTGAAATGTGAAGAAAAAGTAAGGTTTACAGAGAGGGTATGTGGGCTGTGTTATAAGTTATGTTACTTATTTCAGGAACTGCAGAGGGAAATTGAAAAGCAGAGTGGCAGTTTTGCTGATGTATTGAACCTTTGTGAGTTACTGTTGAGCGACTCTGAATCTTGTAAGACACCCATTAACACCGAGTCAATCGCAGTGGCCACAGAAGCACTAGAAAAGAGGTTTGTATAACAACCGAGTTAATGTTTATGGCTGTGTTGTGACTTATGCAGTTGATATAAATTTAATTTCATTCCTCTTGGGCAGTGTGTTCAATATTTTGGTTTATGTTGCTGTAACTGTGAACAGTTCTGAAAATTTTCAGGTCTTAATGTCAAAATTTCATGAAATGTTCTTTTACAAATGTTTGTGGAATATTGAGTATTAAGGGAGTAAGAATGTGTTGGCAACTTGAAGACTGAATCTGTACTATAGACACATGGATGTCAATAATATTGAATTACTTGAAAGTTATACAATGTTTCAAACTGATTACTTTATTTGCTTGATGAACCAAAACCGAACGGCACAATTTATTACCTTTTATGCTGTGTTATAGGTGGAAAAATGTGTGCGGACTATCAGCAGAAAAGAAACGGCAAATCATTTCCGTTTGGACACTTCTTCAAGAGGTTCTAAAGCTTTGTCAGAAGCATCAACCTTGGTTGGACTCTGTGGAACAAAACCTGAAAGACATTGATAGCAGGAGAGGCCAGAAGTCACAAGATGAAATCCAGGACCTTAAAGTTAGAATTGAGGTGAGATATCACATTGCATCAGAGATTATGTTTCTTCATGCATCTTCTATTAATGGTGAATATTCATTGAACTGTGATATTGTCAGAGATGTGTCATTATATGATTACTTTGTGTGACGCAGTCTGTGGTTAAATTAATTTCGGCATTCAGGTTGATAAAGGATCTGATTATTTTCTTGCCACAAACATTTCTGGGGACTAGTTTCTAATGACATGCTTGTGGTGGATAAAAACAGTAATCCCTCGTTTTGCAACCCACAAACCTTAAATTAATGGATATGTTTTGCATTGAGACAAATTAAAATCAGAAGTCTGATAAATATGTGTGAATTCAGTGTTTTATGATTTGATGCTTCCTAGACTATAACTGTATATTTTCCCTTTCACCCTTAGACTTAAGAGAAGAAAGGAACTTATTTAAAAATATATTAGTAACATAAATAAGTTCAAATATTTCTTTAATATATTTCAACATTTAATATTCTTAGCAATTACTATTGCTTTATGAAGATTTTAGAGATTGTTCCTTTATATTTCCAATGGGAAAATACTCTCTACAAATTACTAGATGCATTGAGTTTGAGATTTGGACACAAAATGAAATTGTGTGACAGTGTTACATGTACTGTCCCATTTCTTTTGAATTTATGTTGATGGACTATGACTGTCATCCATACTTTTTTTAATTTTGTGTATAAATATGCTTGTTGAGCTTAGTGAAATTAATTTATGTTAATAGGATGCAATGAAAGACATAGAATCTCATGGTCCTGCACTCCAAATATTGGACCAGACATATGTGAAACTTGAAAAGGATAGTGGGCTGGAGCTGGATAACCTGAAACAGTTGACATCTGTGGTCCGTTCAGTATTGCTTCGTTGGCACCATCTGCAACCAACAGCTGTTGGCATTATTCAGCGGCTTGATGAGGAGTTACAGGTGTATTGTGACTTTCTGGCAGCTCACGAGAAAGCAGTTGTGAGTCTTGTACAAGTAAATGTTCAGCTGACACAAATCCAGCAGCTAGCTACTCCAGAACAAGCTGCTATGCCAAGGGAACGTTTACTGCAGATAGAGGTATATTTCTGAGCCTGTTTACTTTTTACTTCATAATAAGAAAGAGGTGAAAATATAAATTTTAGGACATCTCATAATTAGCTGTAACATTTTGTGGTATCTTGGAAGTGGGGATATATAATTTTGTTTGTAGACACAGGGATGATGGTTCAAAAGTTGTAGATAATTTTGAGATTTCCAGACCACTCTTTCCCATCCTCCAGCTGAGAAGAAAGCACTAAAACAGGAATGCATGGGAATGATGGAGGTATAATAGGAAATTCATTCCTCACCCATTATTAACCCATCTTCAGTCTCCATTTACATGTACCTTTTGATAGGAGTTAAAAACTCTTTGAGTTTGTGCAGAATGAGTTTCAGTGAGCAACCCTCTAACTGTGTGCAGGTGAGATAACTGCCTGTATGCATGAAGAAACCCAGCTGGAGCCAGAAGTATTCCTAAGAAATAGTTTGATCAAGGTTCCCATTATCAGGTGCTTGGCTAAAAATGCCCCATACCATGAAGCATACCTATTACTATGAACCCTTTTCAGGAATAGGTAGAGGTCCAGAACATATGCATGAGTTAATGCTCACTTACATCTGATAAAGAACCTAGTGTAGATACTTACAATTTGAAACACCTTTAATATCTATGTTCAAAATGCATGAAATGTGCATACATTTTTTCTACATAAACTTATAGAAACATTCATTTAAGCTGAAGTTGCATGAATTAGTATGTGTACAGAAAAGTGAAAGGAAAAGACATGCGGTAGCATAGTTTTTTGTGGCACTGTGCTACAAGTCAGAAGGTCGTAGGATCCTGATGAGGTCATTGAATTTTTCAGTTGACCCAATCCTTCCACCTTCACTATGGCCCGGGGGTTGACTCAGCTCTTAACAGCAATTGGTACTAGGAATCTTCCTGGTGGTAAAGAGTGGCTGGCACATGAGGTTGACAACCTCAATGCCATTTGTGTGAGCTGATTGTCTAGGAAATGTGGGAGTCTTAATGTTTTACAACCCTATGGGCCTCCACAGCCTATTACAGGGAAACCTGTAACTATTCTTATAGAAAAGTTAAATTTTTTCGTGGGAGAATATGGAGCGCCCATTAGCTGAGGTTACTCTGTTGTAGCAGAGAGAAATAAGAAAGAAGTTTGTTTAATAATGTAAAATCACATCAAGCTTTCATCAGTGCGGAGTCCAAAAAGATTACAGTGTTAAACTAAAATTTTGGCACACTGAAAACATTTTAACTCATTGAATTAATTTGGACATGTTGCTAATCTCATATATTAATGTTGCCTTATTTTGTATGGTTGGTGAATTCTAGAATGTTGTTATTTTCATAGCACCTGGAGTCTGAGCTTGAAGCGTATAGTGGTCTTTTGAGGAATGCCGATGAACTTGGCCTTGTGGTGATGGAAAGAAGCAGACCTGATGAATTACCAGCTATCCAAGAAATGATTGATGAATATCAACTGTTGTGGAAAGATATCAAGGCTCGGATTGCAGTGTTAAAGACTGAATGTCAAGAAGAGATTCAGAAAAGGGTTAGTTCTCATACCTGCCATGCTCAGCATTCAATACACTTTATATATTTAAAATAAAATTGATTCAAGTTAGGATGGGGAAATTCAACAGAAACATTTTAAAAGGTTCCGATCCGAGATTTCCAAACAGAAGTATGGGTATGTATTGTATGTAAACTCATTTTCAGTAGCCACTGATGTATTAACTGGAATACAGTTTTTGCTCCCTTAGAAATGTTTGTATTAATGATTTCAGTTTAATATAAGGTTATAGGAAGAATTGTTATTTACCCATTCTCTGATTTTGTCAGTGTAAAGAATCAAGAGATATTTTAGGTAGACAATTTGAATTTCATATGTTTTACATTATTTAGCTTTGAAATTCTTCTTTAGTTGTAGATTGTATGGAAGTTGTGACATTTTGAAAAATCTGATCTAACTCTTTATGGGCATCACAAGGAACCTGAGGTACTTTATAAGGTTAATTTTCAATGTAAAATAAATTAGTGATATAGCAAAACTTTGCTTTTTATGTTAAAGTAAAGAACACAAGCTATCAGTGATCCTTGACAGATCAGATAATTCATATGGATAACAATTTTTGTAATGGATGCTTGTTCCAGCTCTGCCTATGGACCAGAGAAGGGACTGCTCTCTGACGATTTATATCTTAAATTTATTATGATAGACACCTGTGGAAGTATTTCCTGACAGTGACAATTTATAATATATAATTGAAATGTCTTAGAAAATTTTCTGTTTGGGTTTGTGGACAGGGATTGGACAGGACAGTGGATGAAGTGGATGAAAGTGTTCAGGTTGAGACACTGAGATTTGAACAGGACTCAGCAGTGCAGGTCAACACACTTCCTTCACTTACAAGGCTCACATCTAGAGATGCTTACTTGTATGAGCTTGAGACTGCCATCCTGGAATGTGCTACAAATTTGGACGCTTTAGAAGATGCACTTCGTTCCCCCACCCCTCAGCAAGGCAGTAGAAGTCAGGGTTCCTCGCCTCAGATGGTAAGAATATTAATATTGTCGTGCTAGGTCTGGCATCATAAAAATCATATGCAGGGATTAGAGAAATTGATATGAAGAACTATAGGATCATAGTCGTACTCAGCTGGCATAACTCTCCAGGTTACAGAGTCACGCAAGCCTCACCACCATGACATGGTGGAGGCACCTTTGGGGGTCCTAGTACCATAAGAACATGGAATTTCTTTGTCAGCTTCTCAGGGGTTGAAGAGTTCCATCTCCTGGGATAGAATGCCCTGTGGTCTGTCAGCTGTCAAGGGTTACTCAGTTTCCTTTCCTTCAAATATATTAGCTGGTGTTGCAAACCATATGATATGGCTTTTATTTTTTCTTTAATGCAAGTTTGGTATCTTCTTTCACTTCCATGCCATGTTGAGTTCCATGTTCCTTAGAGATAAAAGGACTACAAGTTTTCTCTTTTATTTTTTATTGATGTTTTGTACAGTATGAAAATAGAAATATATCTAGTTTTTCTCTTTGTAACTTTGTTACTGAGGCAATAGAGCTCAGATGTTGGATTTATAATGGATTTATGTGGCTGAAAATAGCTGACAATAAATTTGATGTAAATATATCTAATGTTTTCTATAGTCAGCATGTTGAATTAAAAGTAATAGAAATACTTATTCATCATTGAAGTCCTACAGACACAAATTGTGCATAGATACAAGAATATGCAGTTATTAGTCACACAAAATAATATATGGAAGTAAGTTACTAAATTGTGAGTAGATAGGTGTTCTCCTGATAAAACTGCAACAGAAATGTTAATGAATTCCCCCCGACAGTACCCACGCTGTGTTGTACACAACACAGCATTACCTGAATGTCTGGACAATGAAACTAACAAGTCCTATTCTTCAAATAATGGAACCATGACATGAAATACATTCATCTTCCTTTAAAGAGAAGAAGTATAAAGACCAAATTGGTTTTAGATTTTAACAAAAAGGTTTTTAAACAATACTTTGTAAATAGACTAATTATAATAATTCATAGATGTTTTAACAAATTCATGCACCTCTTAATAATTGTTAAAGGATATAATATTTTATATCTATGACATTGTAATAGTAGTTTCTGTTTGTATTGATAATGGTGTATGACATTGTAATAGTAGTTTCCGTATGTATTGATAATGTCCTTCTGAAGGTTGTTGCTCTGACTGAAAAGTGTAAAGTATGTAAGATATAAAAACACACACAATGTTTGTCAATCACACTGGATGGCATTAATAATAATCTTATATACAATTTTTATAACATTGAGTCTCTGTTCAGAATTACAAGATAAAACTATTGTATCAGATATGGTACATTATATCATAATGGGCTGGTGCCACAAACTATGAGTGTAGTGGTACTATCATGATTATGAAACCTTGAAGCAAACTTATGGTCACATTATGTGTATATTGTGATACGATAAAAAGCAAAGATCATTGACTTCTCACATGAGATACCACTAATATAACACTGTACTGTCATTGTCAGTACACTGCAGCGGCCCGGGTTCGATCCTGGGTCTGGTCAAGTGGGATTTGTGGTGGACAAAGTGGTGCTGGGACAGGTTTTCTCCAAGTGCATCGATTTCCCCTGCCAATCTTCATTCCACCAGTTGCCCCACAGTCACCCTCACCTATCATCTGTGGCTGGTACAATAGGCGAGAAGTGGCTGCAGTGCAAGGACTTAGTCCCACCCCACTAGCAATAAAAAAATATATCTACAGAAAAAATGTGACATATTAAAAATGGGGGGTGGTATGAAGAACCATAGTAGACACACATGTCTCAGAAAAGGTCAGTAGTGCAGCACATATTCAGATGCAAATTATGTAATGGAATGTTTTGTTGAAACCCATTTTATGGGTTCACTTCCTGCAGATTTTTGTTGAACAGGCAACAAGAATGAAATAATTTTATTGTACATCCAGTGTCTGATTGGTTTTGTATAAACTCAGTTCTGTTAAATACAAAAAAAAAAATTGGCATAATATACATGAAGAAATAACATGCAGCCTGTTTATGATTAATACTAATGATATTAATATTGATGCTTCTGCTTTGCAGTCCAAATTGATAGCCACATGTCAGTCATCAGTTGAACTTACCAAGCATTTGAGTACCTTGTTGATAGAAGAAAACCATGTATCTGAAGAATATGCACGGACAAGAGAAGTACATGATCTCACAGCACGGTATGATCAACTGGTATCTCAGGCTCGAGCCAGAGAACAGCGCATGCGAGAATCAAGGTGAGTAATATTGAACAACTGTGATGTATGTATCAGTGCTTGTGCTTGCATAGTCTCTGTATTGGCTTAATTAACAGCTCAAACTGAAGATGGTTCAGAACTGACTCTTTTCTGTGTGTTTATGCCCTTGTTATGGAGGTTGAGAACTGGTTCTCATTTGATTCTTGTTGATGTTATGCACTTGTCTTATTGCGATTACTTGCTTACATGACTGTGAAAGAAATTTTATAGAAATTGTGTCCAGTTTGAAACTAAAAGTAAAAAGAAGAAAAAAAAGTGAAGTTATTCCCATAACGAGCCTTGGAGGCCCATAGGGTTGTGAGATGTTGAGGTTCCCACATTTTCTAGATGATTGGTTCATAGATGGTGGTAAGGTGGTCAGCCCTGCGCTCCGGCCGCCCTTTACCCCCAAGAATATTCCTGGGACTTATTTCTATTAGAGGCTGAGTCGACCCTGGGGCCATAGTACAGCTGGAATCCAGTTTGAAACTACCTGTGTAAAACTAATGATGAAGATTTCTATATTGTGGGATGTGTGACTATGGAGTCAGGTGTGTTATGGAGGAACCTCTTGCCTCTATCTTCAGGGCAGATGCAATGAGTGTCCTCTGAAATATTTGTAACTTTCAAGTAGACAGCATGGCACCCTCATACTCATTCACTGCTGTCAGAACCTCAAATCTCATAAAGCCAATGGTGTTTCCATCTTCTTTAGTTAATGCCCTAGTGTTTACCTTCCCAGGCACTGAAAGCATTCTTCAGTAACTTACATTATTAACATTTAAGTAACTACAGAATAATCATTACTAAGTGCTGCAGGTAGTTTGGGTTCCTTCATTGTACATGCTAGGTACCATTTTGCTGTAAGGGGTATTGACATATATCTGTTAACAGTCTTTTGTATCACAGATACCTCACTGTAAAGCTCTGTTATCCTAGTTATATATTTGTAACTGTAATCTGAGGTACCTCCATGGCAAGTTGGAAAATGTGCTGAAATAATTATATTTTTCATTTGTCACTTGAGGTATCATTTGCTCATGTTGGATTGTTTAGTTGTATTGCCAACAAGAGTACATTTTAAATTACTCCGTAACTCCAACCTAACAATCTAATAGTTCCACGCTTTGAATCAAAGCTGACATATGTAGAGTACATGCTTCTTTCTTCGTGATGGATGATTTCTTTTTCCTGCTTGTTTTTTTAAGTAAACATGCCTTTTGTCCACAGGTCTTCCTTTGCTGAAGCTTACTATTTTATCTGTGAACAGTTAAGTGACCATAATATACTAATTTGTTGTTATAAGCAAAATCTTAAGTTAGACGTTTAACCCTTTCCACTAATCTGTTACGGAAATTCTGGTATTGTAATTTATGAAGCATTTGCGAGTCTAGAAGTTTGAGAATTTTCAGGTAACTGCTTTTGCTTTCAGCAGTAGCACATAAAGTATCAGATGCATTGTAATTGTAATGGTTACCAACTATAATGTCAGCTTGTTAACAGAACTTCTCTTTCTGCCCCTCATGAAAAAGGACATGCCTCTAGAATTTAGTTTTTAAAAAATAGTTATTTATGAAACTTTTTTCATTGAACAAGTTTTTAAATCCTACAGAAATAGAAAGGGGTGGTATGAATGGGATTAATTTGGCTCAGGGCAGGAACCAGTGGCTGGCTGTTGTGAACACTGTAATGAACCTTTTGGTTCCATAAAGTGTAGGAAATTCTTGAGTAGCTGAGCGACTGGTGGCTTCCCAAGAAGGACTCATCTCCATGGAGTGAGTTAGAGTTATATAAATTCTGATTGCAGTGAAAAAAAAAAATTAATAGTGCAGAGAAGGCATTTGTTATCTTGATTCTCAGAATTTTTTCAGAATCTCGTGAGCTTGTCTCATGCTGGAAAAGTCTTTCTCGCATATGCATATAATTTATCCTTTGGAAGAACATTGAAGAAATGTAATTTTAAAGTCTGACGTTTTGGGTAATAATAATGAACATTTAATATAGTGGGAAGGATTAAACATTTCTCTAATTGATTAAACCTGAATTAGATAATTCTAATAGCATAATTTCTTCCGTGAATTCAGTACTTACCTATGTTATTTTTTCTTCTATGTTATCAGTGTATAAAAAAGATAATATATATAGATATATAAAAGATACCTAGAAATGTGCCTGTGTTAATAGGTAGACTTCTATAATATATGGAGATACTTAACAGCAGAGGAGGTTCTTGTTTAGTGAAAGACAGTTCTCCAATTTAAAAACAATGCTTCAATGGAACAGAAGTGTGAATGTTCGAAATTTGGAACATAATTGAGTGAAAATAAATATGTTTCTTCAGTGACAAGAAATTTCTGTAACTTGGATGTTTTAGAAATTAATTTAATTTTTTGTACGAACTAATTATCGTGAACTCTAAGCCACATACTGTAGAGATTTATGATAACACAAATTTGATTAAAAACTGGTTCCATATGATGCATTTTACATAACCTTTGGCAAGATGGTATGGCACTGGGCTATTTTTATCACTTTGTTAATAAAGTTTTCAAATGTTATTCATTTGGCAAGCAAGCCAATATGGATATTTTTGGCACATGATCATAAAGTCGGTCAGTCAGGATCTGTTGTTTCAAGTGATGAGGTGTCCACTTGGAAAGGCTTTTAAGTGGGAGATTGAAGTGTACCTTAGGAAATATAATACACACTTGTCCATTACGTATGTTATTAAACCATACACGTAATGTTTTGTGTATAGAAGTGTATTTCTAAATGTACTCTGTTTTTTGCACTTTTGAATTTTTGGAGTTTTGTGAAGGTGTTGGACATGGATGTGTTTTAACCCATTTCTACAGATGAAATGTGAACTTATTACATCGAAGTTTGTGTGCATGGATACATGTGTGTATGTTGTACCATTTTGGTTTGTTCTGTGTAAAGACAGGAATGTTGAAGTTTTTGAGTTTTTTTAATAAAGGCAGAAGTACTTAATTAACCTTAACACGATCTTGGAGAAATTGAGGCAGAAGATAACACAACGCATTTTATTTTCTGTATGAACTTTTCCCAATGAAGAGTTGATGTACATTAAATAACAACAAGCAACTGTCAGTTGAAATAAGTTACTGTTTTGGAAACTGAATGGTGATATGTTATGTGATAAAAAGGGGGACCTTTCAATAAAGAATGAAACAATAATGCAGATATATTTTCTTTTTGACCACTTTTGTAGGGCATAACATATAAAACTAGAAATACAAATAGGTGTTTTTGAGGGTCTTTATTGTCATTAATTAATACACTTTTTCTGTAATAATTAAATACACTTTCAATTCATAGTTCCTCTGAACAATGAATGGCGCATATAGGTTCAAACATAATGAAAAGACAAGATCAAAATATTATTGTAAGCAGTACAGTACATTGTAGTAGAAGAATTGACCCGAAGGGTATAACAAATGTGCCTACAATGTAACAGGATTGTGTGAGACCAGATTTATCAAACTAATAACTCGCCTAATACAGTGATTCAGGTGAATGTACAGTATTAGTAACTATGTTTATTGCACATTACAGTGAGAGTGCAAGGTTGACATGTCCTTTGTGCTCACGTAAAAATTGGCAACAACTGGACAATGATTTGTGGAGACTGGAACAGTGGCTTCAGTATGCTGAGGGGACGCAGAGCAGTCAGACTGCACCACCATTTAACATAGAACAGCTGGAAGACACCATTCAAGATCACAGGGTGGGTACTGAAGATTGCAGATGTGTGAATAACACTGCTTCATATTTGGGATATGCCAGGTTGAAATATCATCTCAGAAACTGGCAATTCTGCCTAAACATTTTTGTAGATTCCTGTAAGTGCCTACAGGAAATACTGGGATATAACTTAAATTGGACCATAATCACTTCTTCTACAACCTTTTGAATTCATTTTTTGTTAATCATTCTGCTGTTTGACCCAGTATGTAGCCTGCGCTCAGCATCAGTGAGTATACCGTGGATAGGGTATATATTGGTCTGTTTGCTTCAGAAATTTTTAAAAATACAGTATACAGATTTTACAGAAAGTTCAAATCAAACTTCATAATATTAAAAAAAAAAAAGTATCCTCCATTGTGAGTACACCTTCCCACTATCATTCTCTTCTGGATCTTCATAAAGAGTGATCCGACCTCAGTGTTATCCAGGAGCATATAGCCATTGGTGCTGACATGCCTTTATCCAGGCATATAGCCATTAGTGCTGACATTCTATCAGAAAGTTCCCAGACTGTTACTATTGTCACTGTCTCAGTGAAAGAAGATGAGGGGGGGGCAAGGTCACATTTCTGCAAGCCTATTGCATCAGTCTGCCATGTGACAGCGCACTGAGAACATGCAGTGTTTTTACAAGAGTGCTTTTTCGATTTTGTGTGTTGTCTGTGAGGGATGGCAAAATCAAGCAATGTGTCTGCATCAAGTTTTGCATGAAGTATGGTGAATCCGCTACTGAAACCCTTGAATGTTCGCAAACTCTTCAACAAATGATCAAAAGCAGTCTCCTGCAAACGTTTGTCTTTGAGCTATGAGGGAAGGCTAACAAGGACCCAACTTTTATCTCTAGGATCATAACGTGTGATAAAAGTTGGGTTTATGGTTATGATGCAGAAACGAAGCAACAGTCATCACAGTGGAAGAGTCCACAATTACCAAGAGCAAAAGTGGCATGACAGATCTGCAGTTCAAAAAGTATGATCTTTTTTTAAAGGGATTTTTCACTGTGAATTTGTTCCTCCTAACACTACTGTCAACTCTTGTGACGTTTTGAGACGCTTCAGAGAAAATATGTGATGAAAAAGACCAGAACTTTGGCACAGCCACAACTGGCTCCATCATCATAACAACATGCCTGCCCACGCATCCCTGAAAACCATAAGAGTTTGTGACTGACGACATGGTTATTGATCCCCATCCTCCCTACTTGCTGGACTTAACCCCCTTTGAATTTGATTTGTTTCCCAAATTGAAAATGACACTGAAGGAACAAGGTTACGAAACTGCCTGACATCCAAAGGGATTCGCAAGCGGTACTCCACAGGATTAAGGAAAATTACTTTGACGGTGCTTTTGAAGTGGGGGGGGGGAATCGCTGTGGAGACCATTATGAAGGAAATGGCAGCAAAAATTGAGTAAGTTAAGCCAGCATTTCTTTTTTGACCAAGTCCTAGAGCTATCTGATAACACATCATCCTCTGTCATAACTGTGTGGAGATGAGAGAGGAAATAAAGGCTGTAGGTGAAAATAGATACCATGTGTTTCATGAAAAATTTCTTCATGAGGATATGTAGTCTGTTCTTCTGTTAATGAAGATCTTGACAGGTTCTATCTTCTGGGATATAATGCAATGCAGTCTATTAAAAGTCCTGATCTTTTAGAGGAACACATTTTCGTCTTAAGTGTCGAATAAGTCAAACAAGAAACCAGCATGCTTGTTGAACACACTGCATGGAATTATATCCAAGATGATAGAACTCTCCATAGCCAGGGCTATGAGGACCTCACATCCTACACAGTGAAGTTCTTGAGACTATATGTCCTGTCATGTTTTACATACCAGTTTGCATATCTGAATAGATAAGGTTTTTGTCTTCCTGCTAACAGGAGTTCCTGATGGACTTGGAGAGTCACAAGAATATTGTTGTTTCTCTAAATATTGTTGGGACACATCTGGCTGATCACACCGAAGATACAGATCGAGCAGAACAGCTCCGTGCACGTCTTATGACAGTGAATAGTCGATGGGATGCAGTATGTCGTGTAGCAGCTGCCTGGCAAACCCAACTACAAACTGCACTTATGGAGGTAATGTTATCTTATAACAAAATTATGAAACACTGAAGTAGTGTCTTGTGATTTAAGTGCAGTTCTCTACACTGTTACCTTGTCTTATCTATTTAAGGCACTTGTAAAATGTAATTGATATCAACATTTATGTTTCTTTGATGAATTTCATGGGTTTAATAATGTATTATAATTATATATTTTAGTATTCAACATTTAATACATTCCATAATGTAAGGGAGTTATGTAAACAATATACCTGTGCAACATACTCCAAATGTGTACACACTGGCCAGTTAGGGAGTTACAGCAGATAGATGGAAGGGTGATTGTGAAGGCTGTATGTACCTGATGATAGCCACAGTAGGCTCACACGTGTAGTACATGCAAACATATGTATACCCACAGTAGGCTGAAAGATGTAGTACCTGCAAATGTATGGTGTGTTTGTGTCGTGAGTCTGCTGACTGAGTAGTAATGAACAATAAAACAAGTACTGTAATTGAATCTGAAGCTTTGCAAGTTAAAAATATTAGTACACATGATTGCTTTTTTCTGTGAATATTTAAAGTGCATCATGTAAGAACATATGAGTATAACCAATGCAAGTTTTGTGCTTGTAAAGGAAGTTCAGTCCCATAATTAATGGCAGGTACAGGATTTAAGTAACTGTGCTTTTACAGTATTTGAGAAAATGAATGAGGTACAAGATGATTCATATAGAACTGGCCCGACGAAATGAGGTGTAATATAAAATATACCATACAGATATTAAAGTAATTTACACATATCTTATCTTGGATTGTGTACCATGGTCAGAGCAGGTGTTGAAAGTGTCTGCTGTTTTCAAGTAGGTATTAGAAACACTCGCTGTTCAACAGTGTACTCCATGACTGTCCCCTGCGCACTGCAGACACGTTTCGGCATTGTCCTTGACCTTGCAGCATGAGGGCTGTCACTTGCCGGATCATGTGCACACCATTCGACTCAGCACGGCTCATGGATTATTATGTCGTAATTTGTGAGCGGTTATATGCATCACCTGTGGAATTATTAGCAAATTCATTGGGCTAGTTCTATACGATTCACTCTGTAGTTTTATGTCATGGATCCTTGTCTACATTCTTCATTTGTCTTTAATTTTTTCTGCCTTTAGAATCATGAATTCCACCAGATAATTGAAGAATTAGTGACTTGGCTTGAAAAGACAGAAAATGTCATTAGGCAAGCTGAACCTATTGATCTTACAGATGACATTGAAGTTATAGAAGCCAAATATAATAAGTTCCGGGTAAGTTCTCTTATTAAGATAAATCACCAGTTTGTAGTATTATTATATTAATTGCAGTTTTTGGAATATCAAAGACTACAAATTCGTTTCCAGTGCATTGGAAAGTCATTTTGAAGCCTGTATTTATTTTGCTTGTCCTTTTCCATATAAAAATACCATTTAATCAAAGAATTGGAGAGAATTCTCGTTAGTTGACTGCTGTTGCATAATGTAGGATTTGATGCTGTTTTATTATTAACACTCTTTGAGTGATGCTGACAGGAACTGAGAAGTGATTTGGAACGATGTGAACCAAGAGTCATGTCTCTCCAAGAGGCAGCTGATCAGCTGCTCAGAAAATCCGAAGGCCCTGAAGGTGCTAGCAGTACTTGGTCTCGCCTCACAGATTTGCGACTGAAGCTACAGTCTTTGCGTCGCCTTACTGGTGTTTACATCATCAAGTTGGGCGCAGTTCTGGGTCGGGATGCATCAGAACTGGGGATGTCAATAACAACAGCAGCTACCAGTGGTTGCAGTACTGCTGCAACTTCACTCATGAGTCTTTCACAAGAGGTAAGCACAATATAGTTTTATCTGATAAATTTAAGTTGGATTAATATTACTAAAGGAACCTCATTATTTGACATTTTATCTTGAAATTAAGAGACATACAAAATAATTGGGTATAATATGTTTTAGTATATTAAGCACTTCCACCGTGTTCAACAGCAATTATTTAACTACTGTGAAAGTTAGCAACCACAGACATGAGTGTGATAAAATAAACTCTTGGTTAATTTCCTAATGTTAACAGCGATTAAAAGTGCTTATTTTATGTACTTTTTGACTCTGATGTTATTTTCACAGAGTTTCAGCCTGCATTTTAAAATCTGAAAAGTAACCTGTTCTCTACAGAATCTTTCTTGAATGACTGTATTGAACTTTCCCAAACATAAGAAAACATTCAAGCTGTATTTTAACATGCTTTATGCGATAAATGGATGAGAGGGGAGACGGTCTGCTGTGTTACTACACAGTGTTTCTGTTTTTATTATGTGTGACTATCACTGCACCTGCAAATGGTGCTGTTATTGTTCTGCTTTTGTAAGATCATTGAGAAGTCTATTTTTGTGTTCTCAGTTATAATATTGAAGTAAGATGGATAAGAGCAGGTTTTTATGTATGATACATTGTGAAAAATAAATAATATTAAATTGTTTAAAGAAGGTTTTGCCGTAAGTATCCTGATATTTGAGTCCCAGCATCATCAGTGATTTTCAAACTGGTGAACAGAATGCATTCAGTGTGATCTTTCTAAGACAAGAAATGCACTGGACAGAAAGTTGTGTTAACTGAGGCAAATCTTGATGAAATTTGAGTCACATTTCACCTTACAATTCCCTGGCATGATTAGCTCAGCAGGCTCAGGTTTGGGTGACAGCACGATCAGCAGCTAAAATGTTATGTGTGCCATATAAAATTAGACAGGTTCAGGTAAATGGAGGTTATTATGAGAGAGAGAAAGAGAGACATTTTTGGAACTGGCTTTTTCAGACGGTACTTGATGGTGTACTTCACGCAGAATTTGCATTTGTTATGAGAGACTTGGATTTCAGATGAGTGTGATGTCAGTGCTCAGAATGAAGGTATTGGAGCAATATCAGTGTGGGACAGACTTTTGGAGTACCTCTTCACAATCAGAAGATTGGCGTGCGTGCGTGTGTGCATGCCATAAGTCCTCCATTAGTAGTTAGAATCATATGTATTAACAGATTGTGATTCAGAGCAGCATGTTGTTGATATTCCTTGGCCCATTTTTGAGAGCACTACTGAAGAAAAGATGTAATTTTACGCAAAGTTGGGATACAGCAAACTGCTAATAATCCCATTGATGTTTTACAGAGATGTTCTGTACTAAAGGGAAGTTTATTGGTTGTGTCACAGTCTTATGCCTAAACACATGTATGACTTCAAGCTGGAAGTTGAATTATTTCTTGAAATGGAGGGGAAAACTGTTCATCTGTTTTATGACCGTTACTGGATGTGCAACACTGCAGTGTGCGTTAGCATCTGTCTACACGTGAATGAACAGAACAAGAAGCAGATCACCTTCTGAGTGAAACATTTGACACCACAGCAGAAACAAAGCAGAAACGTTAATTGAGGAAGCTGCAGTTGTGATTGTGCAGTGTGACACACTTGTCAATTCTTAGAATGTAAAGGCTCACTGGTGCTAAGAGAGCTGCAGAAGAAATTCAGCTTCTTCAACAAGAAATCAGCCCCTGTCAAGATACATGCGCATATGAGGCAACAGAAACGCATTTTTAATGTTGTATGAAATAGTTAAGCTGAATTGCAAATAGAGATGAAGATATGGACCTGAGAAATACAGTTGACACATTTGACCCTTGTCATTTATAAAGTCTGTTTATCTTCCAATAAGTTTGCAGTGCTTAGTAATTGTGCATAGTGAAAGACGAGCCTTTTCAGAAACACATTTTTGTGAAATGTTTGTGAACAGTTCTTTTAAAAAGAAGAAGTTGTTGAGAGTAAGCATAGGAATTGACTCAATTATGAGAGATTGGAAAACTATCTCCAAGTTTCTACTCAACACACATGTCCAGTTTTTGAGAACTTAGTGGCAAAGAAACAGTGGAAAACTCATCATTGACATTCTCCTATCCTTCAAAATAAAACTGTTAGCCCTAAAACTTATATTAATATAATTCAGTGCTTTAATACTAATTATTTTTGTCACATAAAAGTTTCATATCATATTCCTGAAAATATGAATTCTGTTATCAAGACTTGGCTTGTGGCCTGCAGAGTGTTTTGTTTTAAATTGGCTGTCATGCTAAAGAGGTTGCTAATCATCAGTACAGGTGTTTTCGGTGGTCCATGAGGACCGAAGGTTACCTCTTTATTTCATAATTAAATGATAACTTAAATATTAATTTTTTCCTAATGAGTATATTTTCTGAGCTCATGACAGAAGTATTAATTTTATATTAATGAGTATATTTTCTCTGCTCATGACAGATATGCTGATTTAAATATTATCGTAACATATTTATTTGGCAGAAATTCTTAAGTTTAAGTAAGATTTTATGTTACTGTAGAGTATTAACAGAAAAGGACCAAGAGACATCCACTTGCTTGTCAGATCTGGTAATCTACTTTGTATGTGTATGAACTCTCACTTTGGTAGAGATATTGGTATAATTAGCACATCTATAGTGCTTTGTTATGTTAATTTGCTTTTATTGTTTTGTATTGCTAAGTGAAATCTTTGACTTGTAATTTTCATAGTAAGTAGCTTCAAAAATGTATTCGTTTTATCTGCATAGAAATAAGTAATTCAAATTCTGAGGATCTTTTTATGATTCATCCTGTTTGTTTATAGTGTGTGACAGATTAATGGTTATTTAAATATTCTTTGCTGCATGTAAATCTGCTGCAGTGGTGTTTCAAAGTAATATAGGCAGCTCGAGTAGAGTTTTGACTATATGTACTGAATTTTCATTAATCTGCATAATGCAGTGCACAGTTCTGTAGATTACACAGTGGTTGCATAGTTGGAGAGACTTTAACTTTTGTAGCTGGTTGTAGATGTATTTTGATGGCACAGCCAGTATTTGACTTCTCATTCCCTTTTCCTGCACCTTTGTCCTCAGCTTCTGGATCAAGCTGTTCCTGGCCAATTCGAAGGATCGGCCCATTCTGAACAACAGCACAAAAAGTAAATATTGCTTTACTACATTTTTCTGTTAATTTGGTATTATTTCCACTTTCTGCAAAAAAGCATGGACTGATTGGAAATTTGTAAGTATTTAAGTGCACAGTATCTGTACTTTAACAAGACATGGTATTTCAGCTTAGTCATTTCATTCACACCTTCTAATCTAACACAGTGTTGAACAGCGATTCTCAAGTGTAGTTACCACAGTCAGATATAGTCACCAATAATTTCTCATGTGGTCACCAGGTCTATTCACTACTAATACATAATGTCTATTTGTTGAAAATCTTTTCCCACTATTTAAGTGAATTTTCTTCTTATATTTTGTAAATTCATTTACTATTTTTATGTTTGTTTTCTGGGTCTGTGTTTTGCACCTGTAACCCTTCATCGTCATTACTTAAAAAAAAACTTGTACAACAAATTGGCAGGTGAAAATCTTGTGTTGCCTATGGAAGAACGTCCAGTGAGCATGTTCCTTGTTATAAATTAAGAAAAATACGTTTTTCTCATTCATTGCTTGAAATTGTAAATTAATAACAGCCTTTGTGGGATTGGTCTTACATGTAAAAAGTGTATACATTTTTACATGGCTGCAGAACAACAGTTGAAGCACATAGTATGATCCACCCTTAGGAAAACTAACATTAACAACCATGTGTAAAATTCCAAAATTGGACAACTGTCTAGTTATGTCTTCACGTGAACTTCACCATATGCAGAGAATCTAACAGTGGGGTTTCAAATAACGTTTTACTATCTGTTGTATGTTTATATATCATTGTTCAGTGATGAAAACAGAAGATTTAAATGCAAAATGTGCTGCTTTAAAATTATGTAGGCACATCTAAAGACTTAATAACACAGCTCACACATAGAAAATGATATGTTGAGAAATATGATACAATTTATAATATGATAATGATATACAATATGATAATTTAACTGCTTTAAGAACCTTGTGGAAGACATTTTAATTATTAGTGGTTAACTGTTCTGGTTTGACATAACACGGCAGATTACATTGATGTGCTGCATGTTCAAAACAGTTCTCCAAAGAAATGATTGGCAAATGTAATTCATATGTCTCTTTGTAGTAAATTACCTCCTTTATTGATGCTGTAAAATTACCTCGCCTGTCAAAGAACGACATATGGAAGCATATTACCCACTTTCTGTTCTTAGTGTATAAATGATTGCTTCATTTCCTAAATTTCTAAAATATTAATCTTTTATGTAATGCTGTCTTCAGCATTGCTCTGCACATAGTCACGATTCACAGATGAGTGTCTTATTTAGAGGGCTAATGGCATCAGAGATTAGCAGTTTTTTTCCAACAGTGGGTACATTCAGTATTAATAAATCTTTGTATTCCATCTCTTAGCTGTAAAACTAATTTCCCTGAATGTAACATTAGTGAAAAATCGCACTACACTCTTGAAAACACGAATTAGGAACATAAAAATAAGTTGTCTGTGTGCATAATTAATTACCATGCCATGAAGATGTATGAGGGAGTGGAGGTATAGCTCCACCATTCTTGACTGCAGCACTAGATGGAGGTGAGTGGTCAGGTTTCATGCCCCATCCACTTTACCTCCAGGGAGAGTCCCGGTTACCCATTGGATAAGAGGCTGTTGAGGGGGAGGGGGCAAGAAGTGGTGTGGGCATTATGGAGAAGAGAAAAATCTCTTACCCTGCCGGGAATAAAACCCTGGCCATCCAGCCTGTAGTCCTTCACTATACTGACTGAGATAAAGCAGTATTCATATTTAACATTTCTAATTATTTTGATGCTTGGCCGGCGCGTGAGGCTGATAACCTTACTGTCATCTTTGAGCCGATTGTCTATATAGTGTGGGACCCTCAACGTCTCACAACCCTATGGGCCGTCACAGCCTGGTACAGGGATAGCTTTACTTTTTACTTTTTTAATTATTTTGACACTGCGGCAACTTTGGAGAAGTTATTTATCCCTACTCTTTCATTTTGTTCAGTGACAATGGGCGCAGCGAGCCAGAAGATGTCGATACAACAGTCCTGGCTCGAGGTTATCGGTTCCTAGGGCGAGTGGTGCGAGCATCGTTACCTATACAGGCACTCATGTTACTTCTGCTGGGAGTGGCAGCCCTCGTTCCAACAAGGGAAGAAGACTATTCTTGCATTCTCAGCAACAACTTCGCTCGCAGCCTCGAGCCTATGTTGCGTTATCCCAACGGACCACCACCTATATAAACTCTAGTAGTTGTATTGTTTATAATCACAGTGACCAATTGAATAGAATGTATGTATGTTAAAAATCTCAGGCATTTTCAAATGAAGTTCCTACCAGGAATCAATCTCCTCGTATTAACGCATCCCAACAAGGGCATTGGTCTCAGCAGAGGTCACTTTTACATCAAAATTGGAAAGATTATATAGTTTTCAGTCAACAAAGGCATGAAAATAAAACAAATTCCAGTTTGGACTAACAGAAACGTTCATTCTGTTTCATTATGAAAGTGACTGCATCATTAAATATGAAGGAGAAATTCTTAAATGGGTGAGTGATAAACGTCATCTCATATACTGCATTCATCTCATTTGAACAAAGGCTGCAGTGTACTAGAAGATGTACTTACCTGAAGTGGTTTCAGCTGTATGACCTATCATGTCTGTAGTATGGAAGCTGAAAATCTTTGTTGGAAAGTATTCGCATTTCTGAACAGGAATATTCAACATGAACAGGATAAACTGAAAGTGAAATTAAGCTTGTTGCCTCTCTGATAACTTGTGCTTGTGTTTCCAGCAGAAAGTATCAAATGTAATGTCACTAAGAAAATTATGTGAGAACGTTTTTGTAAAATAAATATAAAACAAAAATAAATAATTTATCAATTAGTACTTAATATGTTAACATAAAAATGTTGCAGACTATAGTCATTGACTTGAAATGGTAATATTGACAAAGGAAATGAATGCAGAACTTGAATAATCCATTTCCTATATGCATTTATGTTACACTGAGATTTCCAGTAGGTTTATGGACTTCTTTTTAATATGTATCTTTATCTTCAGCAGCCATACAGCTTTCCAAGGAAATAGATGAATAAATATTTCCAATTTGTGATCATGGTATGGATGCTCATTCATCCAAGCCCCAAGAGTGAAGGACATGAGCGATATTGTATAAAATGTTAATGGTACAGTTTGTAGTAAGGACATTATGTATATATGATACTGAAAAAAGACTTGCAAGAAAGATTTTTAATTATAATGTGTAAATTTAAGAGATGATGAAATTTCTTGTAACTTTATCTTGTCTGTATATGAGGGGTAATTGTGAAACAGGTTTCATTTTTTAAGCTTTATATAACAGAGAAAGAAGGAAGCTAGTGTTCTGGATGGTTAGTGATCCAAAATACCATGCATCAAATCTTTTAAAGGACAGAGGAGTGGAACACTCTGTTCATTAAGGGACTTAATGCCTGGTTCTTGGAGCAACCATTGTAATTTAATCTTACAGTGTGGCAAGCTTATATCTCATGGAAGCTCTCCAGCATGGGATATGCCAGTCTTGCTGTATGAGAAGTAAAAGTGAAATTCATAATCAAAATCAGACCAGTTGGAATAATTTCTTTGTTGAACTAGAACAGTTCTCTATATTTTAATTCTGAAAGTTTATGGAACTGTTAATTGTGTTATGTTATAAAATGAAAATTGTCCTGATTTCAAAATGGTGCTATGAATAGCTTAATGTTGCTAAGTACTTTTTTTCTTTCCTCAAGATGCCCTAATTTAAAATGTGGGCTAATATGATTATTAAAGAAGGTATAGGGTACTAAAAGTCATGCCTATATGTAATATAAAAATAATTCACCTATGTGAAAATATCAAATGAGAGATTCTATCATTTATGCTTGTTCATTAACTTATTCAAAAGCAAAAGCATAATTCAATTATGCTGCTGTTGATATTAAAGCTGAAATCCAAAATGGCATGTGTTTGCCTCCTCTCAGAGGAGATGGACTGTTAATTTTAGCACAATTGTATGTTACCTGTCAATGTTTTAACATTATTACTGCATATTAATATTTCTGTATTTCATAATTAGTTCCCCACTTATCTGAAGGTTTTCATACAGCTTCATTGTTAATACCATATTTGGTACATTTAAGAGGAAGCTTAGTTTAATCACTGATCTTGATTACTTTGCCCAAACTATTTTATTTCATAGCTCCATTAAGTAACTATCTGCTTTATACCAGTGGCATCTTGTAGTTGTATTTTTATAAAGAAAGAGCTTGGCAGGTGTGTGGTATTTACATTTCAAGGAATAAATATGTTGGATTTGAAAGAGTGTTTCTACTTTTATCCCTTTCTTATCCTGGATCACCCTGATTGTAACTTTTAATCTGCAGCAGTAACAGCTTTCAGAACTCCCAGAAATCAAAGGTGACTTGCAGTAAAGGTTATTTGTTGTTATCCTACCTGTTGAATATTTAACATTTGACAGCAGTTTCGTTTTATGTTTTCAACTGTGCTGCTTCAATTTGTGTATTGTTTCTACTGCTGTGTGGGCATTTGCAAGTTTGAGTTATTCATAAATGAAACTGGAAAAATATCGAGCATTGCATTTTTAATCTCGGACTCTGAGAATTTTCTGATAATTGCTTTTACTTTGCACAGTACCTATTTTCGTAAGATCCACTTCAATTTAACCCTCTATCTCCAACCCAGTCTTTCAAGTGACTGTTTCCAGGTGTCTCTCCACAAAAAATGCTTACAAATCTCTTTTTCCCTCCCCAACAAATTTGAGCTATGTGCTCAGCTCATCTTAATTTCCACAATATTGTTATGCTTAAAGTTACTATGTAACAACTTAAAAAATTATTGTTAATTCTTAATTTCACCCATATTTATCTTGGGAACAAATAGTTTCCTGAGTACCTTGTTTTCATACACTTGCAAGCTACATCCTACCTTTAAGGAGACAAAGTTTTATGCTGTACATTTAAAATATATATAAAAAAATACAAGGCTCATAACATCTGTGGGATGTTGAATCTGATGGCCCAGAGAGACAACCACATAAAACTGTAACAGATGTTTGTTGCAGATGATCAAGGAAGCAGAGTGTGCCTGATGGATATTGGCAAAAATTCCCTTCATAGCAGGCCAACATGAGCTAGTGACAGTGTTCTTCCTTGCAGCAGCCCAGTAATTGCGATCTGGTAGGATGCCGGATTCTCCTGCAGTAGCGGGCTAGTGATGGCGTTCTTCCTTGCAGCAGCTCGATGACTGCAAGCCAGCGGGATGCCGGGTGAAGTTCTTGAAGTAGCAGGCTAGCCGGTGATAGTTGAGGCGAGGCCAGCTGGCCTGTGAAACTCCTGCCCCGACTGGCTGACCTGATGAGAGCTGGCTATTGCTGCCAGTGTTTGCTACTAGTAGACTCGCAGTTACGGTGTTCTCTCAATGTAAGCATAGCTGTGACTGCTGTGAGTGATGTTAGCGTTCCAGAGGCCCACATCTTTATACTTTTGTCATTGGGTGGCATGCCTAAGCAATGGGTGTTGGAGCTGCCGTAGTGAGCACTGATTGGATATCGCTTGCTTCACTGTGGGAGACTCCCACACATCAAATTGGGTACAGAACAGAATTAATTTGCAGTCCCTAGATTATTCATACATGCAAAACAAGGAAGTAGAATGTCATACCATTCATTTATTATGTTTCTATCTGAATTTGTTTGAAAATTTTCCATGTTGTCTACAACAGATGATGATGATTAAGATTATTCAGTTCCCTTATATAAGTGCTAAAATAAGTGCTAAAATTAGACTAAATTTAATACTAGTATGAACTGCTCCCTCCTCTCTCTCTCTCTCTCTCTTTTGCGATACATGTCCCGCTAATCGTACTTTCTGCTACTAGCACATCAGAGATAGAATTCGGGAGGAGTAGCCTTTCTCTCTGGCTCTGTTGTTGTGTTTGCAAGCTCCCCAAGGTGTTCATGGGTATCCAAGCAGTTATGGAGGAGATAATATATATGCAGGCTTTCAAAACAACCAATACAATATTTAATAGCCAACATAAAATATACAGACACACAATATACAGAAATAAATAAAGCAAGGCATAAACCCACAAGGGCGAGGCACCACAACCAAAAGTAGCAACTACCCAAGTAATCACATATATGGACAGTCGTAACAAGTAGAAACCCAAAACTGCCCCACTTGCCCCAGCCTCATTAGGCCATCGAACAGGTTACACCAAAATTCAACAAAAACAAAAACAAAAACAACAACAACAACAACAACAACAATAATAATAATAATAATACAAAAAAAAAATGGGTCACACCTGCACTGGAATCAAGAATATTCTGTTGCGATCGTGGGCAGCCTTACCCTTACCAGCCAAACCGAAGACTCTTCAAACATAATTTAGAATTACAAAGTCTGAAACAAGGCCTCTGGCTGCTGGTAAGCAACCACCCGTGAGTGCGGCTACCTTCAGAAGCTTCAGACTGCTCACACACCTAGTCCCTTGCGAGACGATCGTGGAGGGGAAAGGAAGGTCATGTGGTCAAGATAGGTATAGATAACCGTAAAGATTTCAGCATAATGCCTGTGGGGATGGGGTTAAGGAATGGCAGGATGCCAGGATGCAACACACATGAACCAGCTAAGTACAGCATGGCTCAAGTAAATGAAATAATACATGTGACATGATAGTGATGTAACTCCGTAGGATTATGCAAAAGGAAATGTATTCTGAAGGGAGATGTTAAAATTCTTATGTTTATTGAAACTGTCCAGAGATTTGCCGTTCTTTGAAGCCCTGACACACCTTATTGAAGTGCTAAATCTTGAGACATTACTGATGGTAAAGGTAGAAAAGTCTCTAATTTGCTTAGTGAGTACATGGGGACCAACAACATCCATAATAGAACAACAGTCAATTTTGTTCTAGAAAACTTTAATAGGAAATAAAGTTTTAAGATTTTGTCACCTGGAATAAAGCGTTTAAAATTAAATAATTGAACAATGATTCATAATTACAAAAGGAGTTAGGCTGAATGAATCGATTATATCATAAGTTTGTAAAATTTGTATGTATTCCAGCTTTTTAAAATCTTTATAAGTAACTTTATTATAGACAGCAGAAGTGTACTCAGCTTTGAATGAATTAAGTTATATAAAACTTTTACAGAGAAACCTCCACGTTCTAAATATTTATCATATGTACTGCTAACTGTGAAAGGCACAGATTGCACCCAAAGATTCTGATTCGGCCCTTTCCAAGCAGTCTTACCATTTTGACTATTAAAATACAATTCTAAAGCCAGGCAGTTGAACTTAAGGATATGAGGTATTACTGAGGAAATATGGCAGACACTGTTAAGACTTTCCAGATGTTCGTAATGACTGCTCACTGAAACTTCTGTGTGACAGATCAATATACTTTCATGTCCTGTTACAAATACAGCAAGTCAAATTTATTTATATTATTTATTCATTTCTTTGTTCTGTCAGTAGCACATTTTCATGCACTTCATTTGTGTAATGATTAAACAATGTCTGGTTGCTATGTGTAAACTTCCATGTTTGTGGTTGCTAAGGGAAACAAATATGGTGATGTATTGTTTATTCAAAAGTACTAGACTGATATTGTCCTTATGTACCACATATGTGTCATTTGTTTGAACTGTTGAATCAGCAAATGGTTTAGGATGAGCACCAGAACCACAGTGACCAGTACATCTGCACTGAATACTTCTAGGTCTTCTACCAGTTCTGAGGAAGAGGTTTATCCAGTGGGTATGTACTTTCTGTAGATTTGTATGGTTTCTGTGTATGAAAATTCTGAAAGTAAAGTGTTCTTTTGCTCTTGTTTGATAGTATATGATTTGGCCTATGTTGAATATTTCAGTTGAGGCACTAACTGAAGCAGAAGGACCTATTGCGCATGATTATACAGATGAACAATTACAATTAATGGTAAGCTAACCCCACAGTACAGAATCTTCCTTGAAAGTTTGGTGACTATGAGGTACTAAAATAATTTCCCACCATTGTGCAAGATGGATATTCATCACCATATTAAGGAGAGAATGGTAAAACACATTTTGAATTGCTATACATTTGGAACACTTGTGATGCACCTTTATAACACCAGTGTATCTGCCTCTGAAGACTACAAATTAATTTTCCGATTTCATGATGAGTCATGCAGTGCTGGATCTAGAGAAGAAAGATTTAGTACAGTGAAAGTGTGTAAACATGTAGTTACAAATAGGTGCAAAATAAAATGTGCTATGTGCTTTTAAATGTTACGATGATCACTCTGCCAAACAGTGTAAGCTGAAATAAATTCTCTTCATGCCATACATTTTCATTATATTATACAACATATATTACTTCAACAAACACAGACTTGCATTATTTGTATACTCATGTCTGTATATGTGACTATGCAAGTCTTTAGAAGCAATTAATCCATTTCATGATATATTTTGAGAGGTAATAAGTATATTATGAAATACTTTGCTGCTCAAGCTAAAATGATATGGAATAACTGGTGAGGCCAATAATTGGATTAAATCATACCTTGTGGATACATAAACTTTATTCATCAGATGGCTTTAAAATGGGGTAAAAGAAGGTATGGCGTTCCTCAAGGATCCATACAAGGTCCTTTGTTCTTTCTTCTCTATATAGATGACTTACTAAACTTTGTTAAGAATAAATCTAAACCAATTCTGCTTGCAGACAGTACTAGTATAGTAGTTACTAACTTTTAACAGATTTTATAAGTGACATAATGACCATATTCGAATACTAAAATAAATGGTTCACAGCCAATTAATTTCATTACATTTTAACAAAACCCATCTCATACAATTTACAACTAAATATGCACCCAAAATTAACCTGGATATAAGCTATGCCAATAAAACAGTTTTTAAAGCACATGACACAAAATTCCTTGGATTACTTATAAACAGGGGGCACGTGGTAGTGTAATTTGTTGAGGCACTACGCTACAAGCCAGAAGGTCGTGAGTTCAAGTCCTGATGAGGTGGATTTTTTTTTTCAATTGACCTAATCCTTCCAGCTGCACTATGGCCCTGGTGTCGACTCAGCCTCTAACAGAAATGATTACCAGGAATTTTCCTGGGGGATAAAGGGCTGCCTGTGCATAAGGCTGACAACCTTGCCACCATCTGTGAGCCAATTGTCTAGATAATATGGTACCCTCAATGTCTCACAACCCTATGGGCCTCCATGGCCTGTGACAAGGATAGATACTTACAGACAGTACACTGTCTTGGAAATTACGTATTGAGCAGGTATTACACATGCTAAGTGCAGCCTGTTATGCGGTGAGACCTATTAAACCTTACATATCTTGGGAAGCAATAAAAATGGTTTGCTATGCTTACTTTCACTCCAGTATGTCACATGGAAAAATATTCTGGGGAAACTCTGCAGATAGCACTGAAATCTCCAAAATGCCAAATATGGTAATTTTTGTTATTGCTAGTGGGGTGGGATTAAGTCCCTTGTACTGCGGCCATTTCTGGCCTGTTGTACCAGCCCCAGATGATAGGTGAGGGTGATTGTGGAGCAACTGGCGGAATGAAGATTGGCTGTGGAAACCGAAGTACTTTAAGAAAACCTGCCCCAGCGCTACTTCGTCCACCACAAATCCCACTTGACCAGACCCGGGATCGACCCCGGGCCACCGCAATGGGAAGCCAGCAATTAACTGCTTGCGCTCTGGTGCGGCAAAGATGGAAATTAGCACTATCACAGGAAGCAAGAATATAGGTTCTTGCAGAGATTTATTTAAAAAACTTAGAAATATACTGTTTCACTCACCATATTTTATTCCCTCCTATTGTTTGTGGTAGACAAGAAAAACGTGTAGAATTTAAATTCTGACGTCCATAACATAACTGTGAGGCAAAAACTCAACTTCCACCAACATTCAACATTCTATCTCTAATTCAAAAAGGAGTTCACTCCTTTGGAATCAAAGTGCTCAACAGCCTCCCTCAAAGTCTCAAAATAGAAGCTAGTAATATTAAGCAATTTAAAATAACACTGAAACATTACCTACTTTCTCACTCCTTATACTCCACTGATGAATATTTAATTGTAAACGAAAAGTAACTAGTATCAATTCTAAGCTAAAGTGTATTCTAAAGCATGTTACTGTATCATTTTGCTTGTTTGTGTACTGTGCTATATGTATCCAATTAGCTTGGTAATATTAATGCTGTATTATAATCTTATTAATTTTTCAAACAAAAGTATTATTGTACAGATATTATGTACTTGTGCTTGACTTATTCCATATCCTATGCTGTCAAACAGTGCCTGGATTTATGGAATGTATATTATCTAGTGAACAGTTTGGGTTTAGAAGTAATTCCTCAACAGGAAAGGCAACGTTTAAACTTCTAAATGATATTTGACAGGCCTTAAATAATAAGGAACTTGTGGGAGGTATCTTTTGTGATCTTGAGAAAGTCTTCGATTGCTTTAATCATGACTTATTAATGAAGAAACTGAAATTCTATGGAATTGTAGGCAATGCATAAGCTCTAGTCAAATCATATCTCAGTGATAGATATCAGCGAGTCCTCATTGATGATAACACATTCTTATACTTCTTCAGAATGGGGGAAGATTAAACATGGAGTTCCCCAGGGATCTATACTTGGACCAATGCTTTTTCTTTTGTATGTAAATGACCTACCTAAAGTAGTTAATTATAACTCTAAGCCAGTCATGTTTGCTGATGATACCAGCATCATTGTTAGTAATCCTAATTTAGTAAATTTAAAAAAAGATATTATTTCCTCTTTTAGAGAGTTGAATGAATGGTTCAGTATCAATTTGTTGTCATTAAATTGTAACAAAACTCACTATATACAATTTAGAACTACTAATAGCCAAACAATTCAATTAGATATCAATTATAATAATAAATATATTGTAACGTGTTTCGTTACTGAATACGCCGTAGAGATGGTTAATTGGTTTATTTAACAATCTACAAATAACGGCTACAATTAATTATCACAATGTTACGGGTTTCCACACTTTACAAACCCTACAACAAAATCTCTTAACACTCGCTTCAAGAGTCTTCACGTATTAATAACGCGGGAGCTATACAAATCTCCCTGAATTACACACTCCAAGTATAACTGTACTACAGCACTCGCTAAGTCTCAAAAGCACACAATAAGTCTTCCGCTCGCTGACTTCTTAGTTATCGCACACTCGCAGGCTGCTACCTTGAGAACTGTTGATAACACACTCGGCGACTGTCACATTACAACTCGGAACTGTCTTCGGAGATGGCCAGGTTACAACTCGGCGGCTGTCACAGTACAACTGACTGGTTGCTGGCTAACTCGGAACTAACTCGGAGGTAGCTCGAGAACTGACTCGTAGGTAGCTCCAGGACTAACTGTGAATAGCCTTTGCTGCTCCTCATGTAGCCTCGATTCGACAATACAGAAAACGGCCACGTAATAGGCACCCTTGTTGCCTGGTGCTGTGTTGCTAGCAACGCTAGCGGTAGTAACCGCTGTTACTACCGTCATCTCTCGCAATCCTGTTGTGTCACCATTACGTTACCGTGCGGAGGAGGGGGAGGGAGTGCTGACTCGCCCGCCGCGTCACTGCTGGTGGGGGGGGTTTATCCTTTGCGCAACATGTCACAATATTATTAACAATAGAAATACTCGGTTTTTAGGTATTGCTGTTGATAGCTCCTTGTCATGGAAGCATCATATTGATGGACTTACGGTTAAATTAAGCAAAGCATGTTATGCTGTTACATCTTCAAGACCCTTTGTGTCCCATGAATCACTAAGGATGATTTACTTTTCTTATTTTCATGCAGCTATGTCATATGGTATAATCTTCTGGGGGAATTCCCCTTATAGTATCAATATATTTAAAATACAAAAAAGGTCATAAAAATTATTACAAATTCCAGAAATAGGAATTCCTGTAGGAAATTGTTTAAGAAACTAGATATATTACCATTTTATTCTCAGTATATATTTTCATTACTAATTTTTGTAATCGATATCTCCTTATTTAAAACAAATTCAGAGTTATATGATATCAACACCAGAGGTAAAAATAATTTTTACCCTTCACAATCAAGGTTGTCTGTCTATAAAAATTGTGTTTATTATATAGGTTTAAAGGCATTTAATCACTTACCTCCTTGCAAAAAAAAAATTGTCTGGTAATAAGAATCAATTAAAAATACTCTAAAAAGCTACCTTCTGTTGAATTCTTTTTATTCACTGAAGGATTTTTTTAATAGTAATTACTAATTTTAATGTGAATTTTCGAGTTTTTATGTATCATAGGTGTTTTATTTTGGCATAAATATGTTATCTACCTTTTGGTATGATGATTTTTTACAATATTAAATTTAAGATGTTGTTATGTTTAATGTTAAAGTAGGAAGATAAGCAGTTCGGTTTATTGTTTGACCTGACCTATGCTTATTTTCATAGCATGTGTATTTTAGTTACTTGTCTGTGACTGGTTCTGTATCCGTCAGGTGTATTTGTAGCCTAGATTGGATCAACAGAATTTTACAGTGGAATAAATAAAAATAAAAGTAAATCAATTTAAATTCAAATTAAAAAACCCACTGTAAGAAACAGATTATGCGAAGCACTCTGAACAAATACCAAATCATCCATGCTTTAACTGCTTTTACTCATGCCATTGTTCTTTGATGTGTGATAAATGTGAACATCTGCCTTTGTTATACAATTTCTGTGTAAATGTATTCTTTATTTCATTTCTGTTCTGTTTTACAGGTGGAGAAAGTCAAACGTTTTACTACTCTGTTTGATCTTCATGATGATGACTGGAATCTAGACGTAGAGATTATTATCAAGGATTTTTTCATGAACAAGTCTGCTGAAGTACTTAGTATTTATTTTGCTGATGTTACATTAACAGCATCTTTAGGTTTTCCAGCAGTCCCTGTTACAGATATGACATACTTTCTGAAAGCTCCTACTGATGTCATAACACCAGAGAACTTTTATGAAGTTATTACATTTGGAACAACTAATGATAACATTGAAGGGACAATGCTCAGTGTTCTAGAACATGTATATGCTCCCATCTTCTTCAGTGAAACATCATGGCCTGACAGTATCCTTTACTTCTGAATTCATATGAACCTTAAGGCTGATTTCGCACCGGACCCGTCTGAGCCAGTCACGTCCAGTCGCGTCGGACTCCCGTTGACTCATCTGACTGGCTTCACTTAGCAGCACAAGGAAATGCCGTAATCTCTTTCACACTGCACGCGTCTTCTCTAGTCCAGTCCAGTCATGACTGGCCAGGACTCATCCGGTTGAATTTCTTGCCAGTCTTCGTGCGTCTCGCTCATAAGTCACACACGCTTTAATCAGTTTCATTTGTAACGTATTGTTGTAATATGGATGTCGAGAAACTGATAATTCTAGTGAGAAGTAGACGTGAAATATACGACACAAAGGACCCAAATCATCGAAATAAAGACTACATTGCTAGTGTTTGGAGAAGCATAGCAGAAGAATTACAAACAAAACATTTTCTTTCGCCTTCTTTCTCTCCTCCTCTGCAATCTTCTAAGTATAATAAACACAATCATTTCCACGTCCGTCTGGCCAGGAGAAAGAAAAAAGACAAAGATGTATTCAATATGAAACCTAATGACTGAAACGACGTGACTGGACTGGACTCATTCGGTGCGAAGGGACCCTTAGTGTGACTGGAGAAATGAGGCTAAATCCAGAAGTTTTAATACTGTCACGTATATTAGTGAATAATAACCCGGGTTCTGGATTAGATGAACTGGTTTATTTATTTCTGATACACACCACCAGTAATTACATGTAATTATAGTGCTATCGCTATTTACACACTTTCCAGTCCACTGTTGCACACACACACACACACATTGGGATTCTCAGGTTCAACTAGTCGTCTCCTAGCAACCGATCTCACCACAGGAATTAGCACTTCAAATCACTATGAGGTCTTCATACTATTTCATCTTCAACCACTCTGGAACCTCAGAACTAAAAATTCTTCTGGACTCACTCTTCCAACTTATGACTGATGTCTGAAAACAGTGTTCAGGGGAATGTTTGGACCAAACTTGGATGATCTGATTGCAAATAATGTTATAATGAACCAGACTAGGAATGGGGAAAATAGTCTTTTGTGCTTTCATCAAACATTGTTTTCTTACTAAATCCTGTATTTTTGGATGGGCTAGGAGCTTTTAGAAGTTAACACTATTCTAGGAAAATTATGGAGAGAGGACACTTGGAAATTTGAAATTAGGTTGGAGGACAATATGTCAGAGAGTGAGTTTATGATAGTGTAAACTGGTATGAGTCTAGACTATTTAGTTAAATAGCTAAAAGCATAAACATTAGATACTGAAATTCATAACCAGGAGAAAAAACAATATTCATTATGAACCTGGCAAAAGGCTGTTCCTTATATGAGGTTAGCAATGTAGAAAGAAGTTGTGTTGTTGAGTAATGCAGAGATGACAAACAGTACTACTGAGTGCCACAGAATATCATACTTTCTCATCTTCCTAAAAAAAGTTGGTGTTTAATTCATGTAGGTTTCAATTTGATAAGCAACAGATGTCAGATCCGTTCTGTACTGTATTTTTTGCACAAATATTGCTATTTAAAGACTATTACATCCATACTAAATACTAGTAAAGCCTTCACAAAACTTTAAATAATCTTTTCTTCATGGTATAAATTCAATGAATTCTGAAAGTACTGAATCAGTTATTTAAATGACTTTTATTCAGCATGTGTAGTACACTAACTGGATCAGGGGACTTTTAATTTTATTACATCTTTCTGTATTAGATCTGGCAAAATGTTAATGTCTTCTTTTAGAAATCTGAGTACCTTCACTTTTATGAGTTTTGGATTCGCGAGAGTGCAACAGAATGTCATGGTTGAACTTTCTATAAATACACAATGAATTGGCGACTGAACAGTTGAGCTAACAATTCTACTCATATGAACAAAAGTGATGTTGTGATAAAGAATAATGACCGTAGAATCTGTTAAGCAAATATCATATTTCTTTAACTAACATTCAGATATAAAAAGTGAATTTTATACCAATATGCATACATTTCTTGCTAACTTAACTGATCTACACTACAAGATGCAAGGCTTGACAGTCTTGTATATACCTCAAGAAGGTCTGAATTTGAGTGTTGAAGAAGTGAGTAGAGATAAGGAGTTGGTGAAGAGACTGGAAGGTAATATGCACCCTGATATGTTAATTGCTTTTGTAATATAACCTACTCTTTTAATACAATTTTATCACACTCACTTCACTGTTTCTGTGCAACTTTGTCCATATGTTAACATTTACACTTTAAAGGCTCTTTGTCTCTTCTTATTTATTTAACACTACGTGTTTTGGCCTATCATTAGGTGTATAAGATTGTAGATGAAAACTGCTGCTCTGTTGCTAACACTGTTGCTTTTGCGTTTTATGAGTAATGTAAATGTTTATAAAATATTTTTAGATGATCATGCCATGGCTATTTTTATTGTACACACATGTTGTGGGTCTGGTCTATGTATTTTGGTGTGTTGGGTTTCTATCCTTTATGATGTGTATAGCTGTTCTCACACAACACAGCACAGACCTGATAGTCTATAGTTTATCATAATTTTATTGCATATTTTCCTGTTTTCTCCCTTTGACAAAGCCTGGTCTCAAGTACGTATTTATATAGCTGTATTTATACTGACATGGGTTGTCCTGCATAGCTGTTTCTAAAGGACCCAACATAGTTTGTCTCTCCCTCTCAGCCAAGGAAGGAAACAAAACTAGTTTCCGAAATGCTGTTTTTTCTAGTCTTTAGAATATTGGATGATGGACAAAATTAAAATAACCCAGTAATTCTGAGTGTTATATGCCATTGTCAGAACCCATTAGAATCAACAATTATTGCTGTCCCAATTTCAATTGAAATAACTTGCTGCAGGTGTAGTGATGCACTGGACTCGGCACATAAGAGTTGCGTTGGATGATCAGGATCAGCCTACACCTGCAGAAGGGTGGTGCCCTCTCGATGAGTACGAGTCCTGGATTTACAGATGTAAGTCATAGAATTAAGGAACTTCAGTAATTACCATACTTCCCAATTTCTAAGATGCCATTGATTGTAAAATGCACTGTTGATTTGATGATAAAAATTTTTCAGGAAAAATTATAGAAACTGTATGACACACCCTTTATTTTGGTTTAATGCCATGTCATAATCAAACCGTTTCAAAGACATTGCAAAGTGGCAGTTGCCTGTGATATTTGGGGTTTTAAATTTTATGCAAGAATTAAAATACACTATATATATCACTAAGCATATTCAGCAATTAACTGAGATGATAATCAAATGTTCAATAACTCTACTGATTTCCCCCCCCCCTCATCTTACAGGTGTTGATTTGAAGATGCAACAGTGAGCATGTATATAATAATGAATGTTGACTTATCTTTTTTATTGCAGCGTATTAGTTAATATTAAAGCTGCTTGGGATTTTCAGCCAGCAAGCCCTATCAGGTGCTTTATACACTGTCACATTTAACTACATTTTTAACAATGGAAATGCCTAGAAATACTTTTGGAAACTCCTTTGTTGCATTCTTTGTGTTTACAGTCCCATGAGTGGGGTTATGGGTATGAAGATTTTCCTTGCTCTTTAGTCATACCACACATTTTTTTTTTCACATTGATTCTTAGATGCCCTCAAATGTGACATGCCCCAACTTCAAAAATTTTAAAATGTGAGGAGAGCATGTTTTAGATTGTAGGAAATATAGTAGTGGTTTTGCTTTTTTCGCTTAGTGGGGAGTGGAGTCGAGCTGGGTCCACTTGGCACGGTAGCCACTGATTGGCCTATTGTACCTGCCCCAGGTGATTATGATGATGGAGAATTTGATCGAATGAAGATTGGCAGGGGAAGCCGAAGTACTCGGAGAAAACCCACCACAAATCCCACTTGACCAGACCCAGGATTGAAGCTGGGTTGCCAGAGAGGAAAGCCAGTGACTAACCGCTTGAGCTATGGCATGGCCGATATATGGTAGTGGTAGTCAAGAATACATTTTTGAAAGATCATGTTAATTGTGATTTCAGAAAACAGTTTAAATTAACGTAACAGCTATGAGCAACAAATCATGTGCCATCCAGTTAGTTTGTTTCACAGATTAACTGGAATGTCCAAGAACTGAACATTATAATGGTACATTCTGAGGAATAATAAAAGTAGTCATATGAGTATTTAAGTGAATAATAATTCCATCAAGTATAATGGATCAAGATGTCTCTTACTAAGAGGTACTCATATTTGCTGCACTGAAAATTCAGACTATTTAGTTTTAGTGAATGTTTCATGACCTGAGGCTTTGTTGCTTTGCATTACTCTATACCAACCATTCCACACAATTCATCAGAGTGTTGTAAGGGAATCGCTGTATGACACCAGATGCACGTGCACACACACACACACACACACACACACACACACACACGCACACACGCACGCACGTGGGTATATGTAGTCATATATGAAATTTATCACTGTAAGAATTAGTGTCAGGTAAGGCAGCTGTTTGACATGCACAATAGGCCTATTGCTGGATAATAAAAATTTGCAGTAACCCTGGGATCAGTAACAAATTTCATCAAAATCCATCACAATGTACACAAAAAGTTTACTGCCACAACAGATTTATCTATTTTAGTTGCATGTATTTTCCACAGGCAAATACCTCAGGGGCAAGAAAAAATATTAAGTTGTGATTTTTGGAGAAAGTCATATAAAATGCAGAATGTCAATAAGTGTATTTATGGTTCTCTAACATTTTAATTGAATACTCCCAGTAACACAGTTACAGTGACTGTGAAAGTTAAATTTGGAGATGTGGTTATGAGATGGCTTATGCATTACTCCTTGTTGCGCTGTCTTCAGTGTTTAGAGAAATTATATGATATCATATTTTGATATCCTGCTTCAGCTAATGTTTTATTCAGATTCATCTTCCTTAGACTACAATATGCAGTGAACATACGAGTAAATTTTCTTGCAGATAAAAATTTGGCTAGTTTAGAATTTCAGCTCCAAAACAAGACGTTGAAGAAGATATGTGATGTTATGCTAATGAGTCAATCATCTTACATACGTCAGTTTCTTAACCTTGCTGAAGAAATTGAAGTGAGTATATTTTGTAGATTTATTGACAGATTTTTGTAAGCCATATAGTGTATAAGTTGCAGGGAGAATTTGTAATTTTGGCATTATATAAAATGTCTAAGGATGAAAATGAAAAGAACTTCACAACATTAAATGTCAGAGTTAAAACGAATGTAAATGGGGACATTTAAATGCTGAGTAAGTTTAGAGTGACTTGAATAGCTAATAGAAGTTTATGGATAATTTCTTGTTTTGAAAGTCACAGATGTTATGTTACTAAATTATTCAGAATACTATCAACAGTTGGTTTCTTGATTTCACTCATATCCAAATTATAAGGGGCAGTCAAATGAAAATGGGTCACCACGCATAACTAACATGGCACGCAAGTTGATAACACTGGAATTTGCTTACAGTATGAACATCTGGTGGGGACTTGGAAAAGCACAGTGACAACATGCCCTTGCACACTAGTCATTTGTTTATTGTGCTGGCAGTCAGGTTAGCGCTACGTGTGGTCATCCAGAATCTGTAATGGAGGCGGGTAAAGAAGAACAGCAAAGTGTAGTGCGCTTTTTGACTGTTGAAGGAGTAGGAGGATGAGAAATACATCGTCGCATGTCTGTTTACGGTGAACACAGCATGTCACGTGCTGGCATGGCATAAGAGATTCTGAGAGGGATGTGTGTCACTGCAAGATGATGCTTGCCCAGGATAGGCTCATCGTGTCATCATTCCTGATGTTATTGCTGCGTCATGGTTCCGTACATGCCATTGTGACAAAACACCTGCAGTACTGCAAAATCTGTGTGCAGTGGGTTCCACATCAACTCACAGAGGAACAGAAGACTCAGAGAATGGCTGCATCACTGGGTCACTTGCAACGATACCATGAGGAAGAGTATGCTTTTCTGTCTGGAATTGCCACTGGGGATGAAACTTGGTGCCACAATTTTGAACCTGAGAGCAAACGGCAGAGCCAATAGTGGAAACATGTGAATTCTCCCCCACCGAAGAAATCCAAAGCTGTACACACAAGTTCCAGTAAAGTGATGATGACCTTCTTTGACTGCAAGGGCCCTCTGCTTGTAAGAAATGTTCTTTAATATGTTTTGGCTTCTGACCCGTTTTCATTTGAATGCCCCTCATACATTCTAGTGCTTTGCCAGTTGTGCAGAGGTATTACCTGAATTAAGTTTTTGTTTTGATTACTATACATGGTAGGAGAGTTCAAAGGCTCAAGTAACTGCAGCAACTATTACACTTATGAATTCTTTATAACTGCCATTCAACAGTAGCCTTTCAGACCCATCTGATCTATTATTATATTGACAATAATTATACACTGCACATATGTGTTTAGTCCCTACATGAAGTGAATTATTTGTAACATATACAGAGAGTGGACAAAATAATGTAAACACCAAGAAATTGTGTAATAGAACTTGTTTGGCCAAAACATCCATCAATTTCTATTGGTTAATTTTGTAAGTTCTGTTTTTTATTTTTATGAGGTCTGACAATAAAATTTGCCAACTCGCCACTGTGTGCTTGCTGTGGCAGCAGTGGACAGAAATCTCAGTATGGTTTGATCACGTTGGCATATCAGCGTTTCACAGCTATATTGTTGATTTATGGCTGTCTCTTCCTGAGTGGCATCTATTATTGTCTGTGTGTTTCGGTGTTTTGCATCACAAAATATTGAAAGGAAGGCATTTTGATGACACTGGTGACATCAGGAGTAATATGATGGCAGCTCTGAAGGCTATTTCATGCCCCACACAGTAGCATAGTTGATTGAGACTCTGTGCTATAAGCCGGAAGATCGCAGGATTAAATCCCGATGAGGTCATTGGATTTTTTTGATTTACCTAATCCTTCCAGCCGCATTATGGCCCTGGGGTCGACTTAGCCTCTAACAGAAATGAGTACGAGGAATATTTTTGGAATGTTCTTGGGCGTAAAGGGCGGCTGGCACGTAAGGCTGACAACCTTACCGCCATCTATGAGCCGATTGTCTAGAAAATGTGGGAACCTCAACATCTCACAACCCTATGGGCCTCCTCGGCCTGTTACAGGGATACCTTTACTTTTTACTTTTTTTTTTACACAAAATCAAAGCTGGCACTTAGCACAGTTGTGACATCATGTGAATTGATGCAGTATGAGGAAAGGCATAATTGGCTTGGTAATGAACTGAGTACTGGTATTATGAGTAATGTATTATTAATGCTGTCAATACTTGGGTGATTCTTTTAAACCAGTACATTTTTGTCAAATTTAAATTGCAGGAAGGAATGCGAGAAGCTAAGTCAAATATAGAGTTCTTGAAGATTTTAAGGGAACCTTGTGAAGAACTTGATGAAAGCACTTCACCTACTGATGTACCTATGATTATACCGACATTGTTACAGACTGTTAGAATAATTTGGGTCAACTCTCCATATTTTAATACAAGGTAAATAAAATATGTTAAGTTGTAATTCTTTTAATGATATGTCAACTAATAGGCTATACAGTCTTTTAAGTTTTCACTTTGGTCCCAAGCCTATTCCCCCAAAGAGGAAATAATTAAAACAAATGATTAATTATGTGGAATGCTTTTTAGGTCTAAATGTGAAAATTTTTGCATATGATTTTACATAAATAGACTGAAAGAATTTGAGGCTTTCACGGTGGTGACTATGAAGAAAGCAGTCTTCTGGGATTTGGCACTGTGTATATGTGGTGTTAACCGACGTTTTTCTTCTACCATGAAGATGGAGGCGATACGTTCCTCCGAAACGTCGGTTAACACCATATATACACGGTGCCAAATCCCAGAAGACTGCTTTCTTCACACTGAAAGAACTCAAAGTACAATTTTTTTAATCTTTTCTCAACATTGATTGGGAACAGTCTCTCCCCTTGACGGACTCTGTGATTTAGCAAAGGCCACGGCAATTGCTATGATAGTTACCTTTGCTCCATAAGTTAATAACCACCCTCCCGCTATGGTCTATGTTAACATTTTTCAGATTTTCCAAATTCTTAAATCTTCTGGCTCATTCCACAGGCCTACCACTTTATCACAACCAGCAGTTTTTCTTGAGAATCCCGCATTTCCTGATGGGCTGGAGTAATCAACATCTTAAGTATTTAGAATAAACCTTGTACAGAGCATACTGTGTTTCAAATGTCAGGACACATAATATATATTTCAATATAAAACAATGAAATTTAGAAGTTTAGATTCTTTACAAAAATTATTTTATAAACTGACGTGAACTAGTGAGATTTTCCAGGTGCTGAAAAGCATTAACAACTGAGTAGGGATGGCAAGCCCCCTCTTCATCTTCTGTCCATGTCTGGTTATAAATGTGTGATGCTGGAAGACACCTAGTTGGTAATTTAAGTGACTGTATGAAATTGTGACTATGTTTTTATAGTAAGCTATATAATTCATGTTTTAATTAACTTTTATTTATTATTATTATTATTATTATTATTATTAGACTCTCAAAATTTGTATTTGTTTTCAATTATTTTTATGTAATTCTATGTACTCATGTTAACCTTTTAATTGGCCTCTGTGTTGTTAAGTTGTACGTAAATAAACATGAATTAAATTGAATTGAATTAGGATGTTGAGCTGCCACACGAATAAATAAGAATTAATTGGGTTATTATTATTATTAATTTTACAATTAAGTTTATTTCAGTCCAGTGTGACATATAAGCCTTCACCACTTCAGCACTTAGTTACCTAACATGTTTCGATTCTTAATGAATCATCATCGGAGGTATATCACTACGATCAGGAACCCACCAATATGTAAATGTTTTTGTAATACTATATGCACTTAAAACATTTATGATGCTCACTCTGTGTAGTTGTTAATTTTCCATTGTCAAAATAGATATTTGATGTAAATTTTTTATAAAAAAACATTCTTGAAGTATATTACTTAGAAGTACATAGTTGTGATCACTTTCATAAAGGATATTTTAAAAATGTAATTTTCCACTGCACTGTATATAAAATTCAATTTGTTTCACCACAGCAGCCTTCCTTTACGTTAAAATTATGTGTGTAGAAACTTATTTTTAAGTTAAAAAAAATTTTTTTTGTTCGTGAACCAATGTGGATCATGTTTTATCTTCCTTGGTAGTGGACATTGTCATCTATCCCTCTTGGCGATGTGTTCTTGTGCTTATTGGTGTAGTTTATATGTGTGCTGTGTTGCTTGTACTTATTGTACTTGTGCTTATTAACTTCTGTGTGTGAATACAAGTATATGTGTATTGTCCTTTCTCACCACATAATGGAATAACCATTCAAAATGTACTTATTTTATTTTCTCACCTGTTAATGGTAACTTTAATTTTTCTTGGAATTATTATTATAATTTAATGCCATTATATAGACATGGTATCTCTGTTTTTGGAAAGAGACTATCCAGGAAAAGTGATAATGTGGTAGTTTTTCCATTTGCTTTCCACATCGCAGTACAACAGCCATTCAAACCACTCTGGTCCCGCCTGTTGCTATACAAACTTGAACCATCTCGAGCATCATTTGCTCTGTGTTACCAGCAAATTAGACTTAAATTTGAGAAAGAAACTAGTGAAATGCTACATTTGGAGCATTGATTTTTATGGGGCTGAAACTTGGACACTTAGGGCAGTAGATCAGAAACACCTGGAAAGCTTCAAAATGTGGTGTTGGAGAAGGATGGAGAAGATCAGTTGGACCGATTATGTGAGAAATGAAGAAGTGTTATTTAGAGTCAGTGAGCAGAGGAATATCCTACATGAAATAAGAAAATGGAAGGCTAATTGGATTGGTCATATCTTACGCAGTAACTGCCTTCTAAAAGAAGTTATTGAAGGAAAGATAGAGGGGTGGATAGAACTGACCAGAAGATGAGGAAGAAGACATAAGAAGATGCTGGATGACCTTCGGGACAGAAGAGGAAACCACAAAAATATAAAATGTAGTTAGAATTTAAGATATGATTAATATTTTTGGTATTGATTTTTTTTGTGATATGAATGTATTCATGTGTTTTTGGTTTTGTTTTCAGGGGGACCTTTAGGCTGTGATGGTGTGTAATGATGGGAAAGGTTTATGACATTTCTAAACAAAATGCTGTCTCATTTTTTACTCTTGCCAGAAGAACTGTTACCCCCAAATTTTGTACAATTCAGTGTAAAATCCTCAAAATTACAGATATTATTTTGTCACCCAGTAAGTTGGCTCAGATGGTAGTGCTTCTGACTTGTATTTGGGAGGTGCAAGATTCAAATATCGGCTAGTACACTGACTATCCTTACTGAGGTTATTCAAAGTTTTCCTCACATTCTCCTCCAAAATACAAGATTAGTACTTTGAAATAGGACATGATGACTTCCCTAACATCTTTTTAATTTTATGGAATTAAATCATCATTTCTTGGTAGCCATTGCGAAATTTAACTAATTCAGTTGATAGAGTGTTATTAAATAACCAACAGTATATGTCTGTGTTCATTAATGGAGAAGTGTCACTCTCACTGCTGTGGGAACCTCAGTTTTGCATTTATATCAGTACTTTATTTCTGAGATTCTGTTTTCTTTTTCAGGGAAAAGTTGTCTGCACTGTGTCAGTCAATTAGCAACCAAGTCATATTGCGGTGTAGTAGGAGTGTTAATCTTCATTTTATCTTTGAAGGAAATACAAGAGCTGGCATTAAGATGTTTGAAAATATAATTGAATGTTGTTTGAAATACAGGCTTCTGTACAATAAGGTATGATACACATGACCTGATATTCGTTTTTGCAAAAGAATTGATTTCTGCAGTATAACTCATTTGTTTATTGACTTATATAACAACACTTTGTCAACTGCATAGATTCTGTGGCATTCACCTGAAGAAACTGAAGAAAACCATGAACAGCCTCTGTTAGGATAATCTTTGCCTCAGCTAGAATTTGATTTAGGTATTTTACGTCTTAATCCTCAGTTCCCAAGGAAAAGTACTATTGCACTCTTCAGGCTATAAACTGGACTGACTGCTTGGCTGCATATTTGCATTAAGTGATCTCTGTACCCATCACTTGTACTATATGTCAGATTTGGAGTTATGTGCCTGACAGGAATAATTTTCTGCAATGTTTTGCCTTGCTGAAAATTAGTTCCTATGTATATTCACATATTCTAAGAAAATTAAACAGATGGAAAACAACTTGAGAGACTGTGCTTTAGTAACAGCAACAGTAGTTGTGGTGGTGATGGTGGTGGCCAGTTACAGCCAGCACAATTACGAAACAACATTGATAATAACAAACAAATAAACAAGAAAAGCTGAACTAATTAAGGCTATTTAAATTTAAACATAAGTTTCTAAAACTATCTTTTGAAATACAAGCTCCATTAGCTCAGCATGCTGGAGGACAGTGACTAGAAGAGAAAATCAGCATGTAAACGTTACATATGTTCTGATCAGGAACAAGAATAATATCTCAGTAGCAACAGTCAGTGTGACTGTAATTCTGTGTTATTAATTCATGGATAATCATTCTTCTTTATGGCATCATAGAAGGATGAATAGGACTCAGACTTTGTTTTAAGTATATGGCAAGTTAGCATCATTAATTTCAGGTAACCAGACAGCGTATTCAGTGTCCTTGACCTATACATCTGGAAGAAACTGCAATACATAAAGTGATTTCATCTTAATTCTTTTGGTGATAACAATGAGAATGCAAATGCTCCTCATTCCAATCATTTGAGTTCCGTTTCTCTTAACCTTTAACGTCCGAAGCCCTGTTCGGGCCAGTGATGAGTAAGGTTGTTGTGGCCAAAGTACCCCGTTTTGGCCAGTCGGGCATTTAAACTCTGCTAGTGGAAGCACGTGCACACGCCACTAGTATAAGCGCATGCACAATCCTAAATATTTATTTTTAAATGTAGTAATTACCAGACCAACTTGAGTAAAACACTAATAGAGGAATTAAAATGATACCTAAGTGAACAACAACAAAAAGAGTATACGTATGAGTTATGCTGAAACTCATCCATGAGCCAGTACTTTTATTGCAGATTCTGCAGATTAATGTGTTAAAAATATATAGTAAAATCCGATATACATACCTTTTTTGTTGTTATTTGCTTGATGTATATATAGGCTAAAATGAAACTACAGTATTCAATTTCACTATGAACGCACAGAAAACAGATCACACTCTGTATCTCAGCCACGATGCAGCTGTCTGCTCATACCCATAGAAAGGGCAATAATCTTTTGAAGCTATAACGGAAGGTCTTAGCACTGAAGAAGGGACCCTTGTAGCTATTTCTTGAATAGCCATGTTTTCATTCTTCTGTCATTTAGTCAAAAGATTCGAAAATCTGAAGAGTGTAACAAATATTAAGGTTTTCTAGCAGAGAACCAAATGATTTTATTGCTTCCATCTGTTTTATGGCACCAGGGACTGCTAAAATTTGTCAAGCGTTACAAACAGAAACGAATTTATAATGCAAAATAACTCTGTGAAGAACTTGGGAACCAATTTTGCAGTATGCATAAAAAAAACTGACAATAGAGTATAACTTTTTGTATAAAATTTTTAAAATCTCCCATTGTAATATGAAACACTGTGTTCTTTGCTGATACAAACAAAGTTAATTCCATCCATTTATCATAAAAATTGTGTTAGACACAGCATTTTTATACACAATGCTTAAAATTGTTTAAGTGCCCTAACAGGAACGGACATTTAAATGCAGAGTAGCAATGTGCATTTAAATGCGCACCAGCAGCAGGCATTTAAATAAACTCCAGCCAGCTCAAGCTTACCACCATTTCAAAACCCTGGCGTTCAAAGATTGATAAGGATGCTATGGGTCTTTTGTGGGCAGTCACCTTCATATTGGTGTGAGGTTGTTTTTAAAACTCCTCAGGTTATGATGATATAACAAATAAATTAATTAAACTTAGTAGGCACCAAATAAGTAAACCCATAGCTTATATAATTAATAAGCCTTTAATAATGGGAGTATATCCTGAAAGATTAAAATATGCTGTTATTAAACCAATATACAAAAAAGGAGATAAAACCATTATACATAATTATAGACCAATATCAATAATAACAGGGTTTGCAAAACTATTTGAAATGGTAATCTATAAAAGACTCAATGATCATATTACAAAGCACAAAATATTACACCCACAGCAATTTGGATTTCAAAAAGGATTATCTACCGAAGATGCGATCTTCGAACTAACTAATGTAATACTAACTGCTTG